AAATTTTAATTATAAAAAATGAGAGGCTCATAGTAAAAATATATAATAAAAATTTTTCAACAAAAAAAGAATGAAAAATAAAATTATAATTTTTCTATTTAGAAAAAATGTTAATAACTTATTTTGTGTTAGATTATTATTTAAATAAATTTTTTTTAAATCTAAAACAATAAAAAAAAGTATTAAAATACACAAAAAAAAATCTTCACCTGCAACAGCGATATAAATTTCACTAAAACAGCAAATGTTTTCGCTAGTCTAGAGAAAATTATCGCTGTTTCACGAAAAGTTATCGTTATTTCAGATAAAGATTTTTTTTCGTGTAATAATAAAAAATACTATTATTATAAATACTTGCCCGTCTATATTATTATTATATTAAAAAAATAAAAAAATATGAAAAAAATAGATAAATTAATTAAAATATTTTAATTCGTTATTTCACAAATTTATTATCTATTTTTACTTTGAGCTTAAAAAATAATTTTAAAAATTGATTTCACATAGCGAAAGCTCAACTTTTTTTTTCTTTTATAAAAATATTTTTCAAAATCAGAAAATATTATCAAAAATATTATTTTAAAATTTTATCAACATTTTTTTATGTTCCAAAAAAAATATTTATATAAGCATTAAGAAATTGAAAAAAAAACTGCCAATTTTCTGATCGTTTAATAAAAATCAAATCTTTTATATATAATATAACGTCTATATAATTAAAACTGACAATTTATTGATGCGCTTTATACAATAAAAATAAAAAATAATCGTTTTTTCCATTTTAACTTTTTTATGTACGAAAAAAAATAACAGCTCATTATATTATATATATATAAAAAACAAAATGACTTCCTTTTTGCTTGCAATTTTCAAAATAATAATGAATCTCACCCATTGTAGATTTTGATAAGATTATCAAATATGTAAATAGAAGTTTTAATGAAGGTCTAACGAATAATATATAAATAACGTATTTTTACGAAATACTATGTCATAAATCGGTTAAAAATAACATGTGACTTAGCTTTAAAAAAAAGAAAAATATATATATTGATTGTCAATGCCGGTACCAATTTTTACACGCCGTGAAAATCAAGATAATTTTTTTTTCACGGAAAAATCGTGTTACATAACGAGAATTTACTTTGCGTAGCATTAAAAAAAAGTAAAAACTAAATTTTAAGATAAAATGTATTTTGAAATTATTTTAAATTTCAATATTTTCTGATAGGTAATAGTAAAAATTCTCAAAGTAACACATTCTTCCATATTTATTCAATTAATAAATAATAAAAATGAAAATTTTTATTTTTTATCTTAATAATCTTTATTTTATAGTATAATTCTTTCAAAAAATTTAAAAATCAACGATAATCAAAAAGAGTTTAAAATTTTTGAAATTAAGTACACTATGTAAAATAATAAAATTATATATATATAAATATATAAGCATTATGTGAAATATTGTCTCGAAATAATAAATATAAAAAAAAAAATTACATTTTTTTTTCTATTATTTTTTTACGCATGTTTTATATGCATTAATTGATTTTTCAAAATTGTATTGTATATTGTTTTTCAAAATATTGTATTGTCACTGTATTATCAAAATTGTACGTAATATATTATGTAATATCTTTGTACGCGTAAAATGTAGATTCTAAAAGTAGTATGTGTATGTGTAATATATATATATATATATTTAAATATTTTACTCAATTTTATATGGGAATGATTTTAATAATCCAGTGGGTAAAAGTAAAAAAAAAAAAAATAATAATTTGCAAACAAAAAAATTCAAATATAAATGAAATTCCAAAAATTTACATTTATTTAGTAATTCAAAAATTAAATTAATGAGAAAAAATAAACAAAAATAATTATAAAAAACATATTAGTAAGAAATATAAAAGTACACTAAAAATTTAAATTAGCCAAACTATTTTAAAAAATTAAATTACTGAATTATTTTACATTTTTTACTAGTTTGGCTAATTGACAAATTTTCGTTTTTAATCTGTTTTTTTTATATTTATTAATAGTATTTACAATTACATTTTATTTTTTTGCAATTATTTTTAGTTTAATTTATTTATTTATTTTTCGAAAAAATAATTTTTTTTTTACCCACTGGAATATGCATTGAAAACTGTGTTATAAATATGTAAAAGAATTTATTTGAATTAATCGATTATTATTCAAATGACATTGTGTTTAGGAAATCTTAAAAAAATTAAGAGAAAGAAATTGTCACTTTTTGTTTTTTTTTAAAAAAAATTCAAATATTTTTAAATTTATAAATATAACAACATAGAAAAATATTTCCTGCACTATATATTAAAAAAATAATAATTCTAATTTTAAGCCATTTTTGACTGAAAACATTTAGTCCAAATATCAAATTATGAATTTAAGAAATTAAAAAAATTCCTTTAAGACCAAAAATTAACTTAAACGAGTAGTTTTAAGTCAAAAAAAAAAAGTTATTTTTAAGTCGGACTACTTTTAAATAACATTTAATTACGTAAACAATTTAATACTTTTTTTTAAACTATGATAATTTTTTATAATAGTTATAAAAATAAAATTTTATAACAATAAATAAAGAAACAATTTCTTTTGAAAACTTTTTTAATTCATTGTTTTATATTAAATAGTTAAACGAAAATTAAAAAATATTATTCTTATAAATATATTAAGTTCCTGGTTCCGGCAATGACAATTGTAAAAGCTGTATAAACACAATGTCGTCAATTAAATGCATAAGATTTCAACTTTCACTATAAAAGCCCCAAAATATTAAATGTAATTTGTGATCAAAGTGAAAGGGCCATTGAATTAAAATCAAATCCAATTTTCAAAATAATAGAGAGAAATTAACATTTCATTCGGCCAGCTTGTTCATTTCTCTAAAATAATAATAATAATAATAATAATAATAATAATAATAATAATAATAATAATAATTAATACTAAAAATAATAATAATTATCATAATAATAGAGTTGTGCTATCATTAAACGTAAACTGAAAAAAATTATGATTCCAATAAATATTTACTTGTATCAAATAATTTTTATTTAAATCAAATATATAGATTAAATTCAAAATCGATTATTTTTGTGAAAAATTGGCTACAATCGAATTTACTGATTCAATTATTATTTAATGTAACTAAACATTTGTTAAAAATTTGAATCAATTTTTTTTTGAAAAAAAGAACGAATAACGAATTATGAAATTGTCATTGAGAATCATAATATTCGCGAAAAAAAAAATGAAGTACTATTAATCAATTATCTATATAGAAAAAGGCCTTATATATATGAGGATTATTTGCCTCATTTGTATGGCATCCATTATTAATAATTAATATATAAATATATGTATAATACTGAGATTAATTAATAATTTTCAATTAAGATATATTCACACAATTTGCGCAGATATTAATTCAATGGTTAATTCACAAAAAACGAAAATCAATTTTTGATGCGTTACCTCCCCCGCGTGAAAATGAATATATAAAAAAAAAATGTTTCTTATGCATATAAATAAATAAAAAAAATTATGTAGATTAGAAAATTTTTTCGCAAAAAAAAAAAAATAGAAACTGTGAAATGCATAGGCGTACTTCATACTTTTTATATTATTTTTAAATATTAAAATTATATGCCCGTATGAAAAAAAAAACATTTTTCAATTAGAGGTGCTCAACATTATTTCATTCATTTTATTTTTCTTCGTTAAAGAAAAATGAAAAAAAAAAAGAAAATACATTTTGATGTATTATATAAATATAATCGAATATATCAAAAATGAAATTAACGGAATAAATTTGACGTTATTCCGTTATAATTAATAAATTAAAATATGAATGTTTCTGATGTGAAAAAAAAGGTATGAAAGTTTTGCGCAAAGGTACTAGAGGAAATGATGAGTGATAGAACGTGCCTAAAAAAAAAAACCTTTTACAAAAACGACAAACGCAAGCATAGTTAGTTTAAAAATGCTGTAAAAGGACAGTTCTATTATGAGAGTCAAAAAAAAAAAAAAAAAAAAGAATTGCGTGTAAATATTGTCGAATATATTATATAAATATATGTACATATATACATCTATGAATTCTTCTAAAATATATATTCTGTTCGAAAGGAATGCCTATATCTATCGTTTCTGTATAATTATTTTTATTTTAATTTGCATATATACTGGAAAAAAAATTCCCCAAATTTTTTTCAAGGTAAATTTACAAAAAAAAAAGTTTTCTTAATTCAAAGAAATCATTTTCTTTGTCTTTTTTAAAGTAAATTTTTCTTTGATTCAATAAACAAAATTTATTTCTATAAAAAAAAATACTTATTTTTAATTACATAAAAAATAAATATTTATCAATTTTAGAATTTCTTTGATTAAAAGAACAAAATTCTTTAATTCAAAGAAAAATTCTTCTTGTTTCAAAGAAAATTTTTCTTTAAATGAAACGAAACTAATTTCTTTAAATTAACAAAAACTATTTTCTCTATGTAAAAAAAAAAAAAAAAACGAAAAATTGTGCAAAAAATTTCGAGAATTATTTTAATTCCATCAAAGTAAATATTCGTCTGGGACCGCGAATTAATTCAAATGAAATCATGCAATCAGTACCATATTGCAAAATTATAAACATAAAAAACACTTCATGCCGATGATAATTAACGAATCAAAAAATGAAAAAAAAAATATTTCGAAATTAATTTTCTGTCTCTTTTTATAATTTTTTTTACCATTATTTTTCCTAACAAATTTTTGATTTTCAATTATAATTTCAAAATTTTTATTTAAAAAAAAAATTGCATATATTAATGTAATTAATATGTGATGTGAGTCTAAAAAGGAAGAAAGTCAACGGATATAGTTTATATCAAATAAGTGAGGGAGAAATGAGAAAAAAAAAGAGAGGACAATATTTTTTTTAAAAAAATGAATTCTTTGGAAAAGTCTCGCGTGATATTTTACAGGAGCATGCTAAACTGTGTGAATGCGTTAGAGGGACACATACCACCAGCAGAGAGCGCAGCCCTGATGGTGGCCGAGGAGAAGCCACATCCTGATTCATGTAAGGCCCGCCAAAATGACCGAAATCACTTTTCATCATTCACCTATATAATATCTATATATATATATATACTGTACATATACCGCGAGCGATTCCTCGAACTTTTATAATTTTTTTTTTTTATTTATTTATAAATTTTCCCCTCATAAAAAAATAATTAAAAAATCTTTTAATTAAAAATACTATTAGAACCTCTACAATTATTTATATATTAACTATTTTATTATTAATATAAAATAATATAGAAAATATTATTAAATTATAATAATTAAAAAAATTACCCCTCATAGAAAAAAAATATTTATCTGAAACAGGGAAAGGTTTCATTAGAATAGCGAAAGATTTAACTGAAACAAATAATTTTTTTTGCTAATACAGTGAAACGTTTCGCTGTTCTAGGTAAATCTTTTTTTCCGTGCTTCAAAAAAATAAAACTGTTTTTTTTTAATTTTCTATACAAAAAAAATAATATAAAAAAATTTTGTTTTTAATATTTAAAAAGACGTAAATGTAACTATTTTCATAGATAAAAAAATATAGTAAAAAAAATTATAAAAAAATATATAATATAATAAAAAAGTCCGAGGAATCGATTAAAGTAGATTACGAGTATTCAAACACAATTTGCATGCCACCAATTATTACTTTCTGTATGTTTGTAAATTTGTATAAATTTGTAAATTTTGTAAAGTGTAGTTTCATTTGTACGTATGACATATATATTTATTTTTATTTTTTTTTTTTTTTTAATTCGATTTTTCAAAAGTATTGTCAGTCGAAGCACGATTTGAAGAAAGCTTGTGAGTCAAAAGTAAAAATGTGATTTTTTATTATTATAAATATATCAATATGCAAATTTATTATTTTCCATTAATATTTTATCGTGTGTAATTAACAAGAGCGTTAGTGTGTTTTTTTTTAGTATTTGTCAATAATTTTAGCAAATTTTGTTGAATAAAAAAAAATTGGCCCAATTTGTTTGAAAAAAAAAATTCAATGGCAAAAAATTTATTAAATTTGATCTGCATTTTTATTAAATAAAAAAGATTTTTCATTGTAAAAAAAATATTGTTTGCGAATTAAATTAGACTTGATATTAAAAACAATTTTTTTAAATATAGAAAAATATGAATAAATAAATATTCTTTAAATCGTTATTCTTCTTTGACAAGAAAGAATTGTTATTCATAAACAAAAATTTCTTTTTCTTTCGATAACGTACAATTTTTCATTCACGATAATTATATGTAATTATATATCTTGAAGAAAAAAGCGATTTGGTCAAAGAAAGTATATCGGTTTTTGATAAATTTTTAACGTGAAAATTATTAAAAAAAAAAAAAAAAAAAAAAAAAAAAGGTCAGGGTTTGCCATACAGCGTCGGGATGTAGCTCTTTTACTCGACTATCTATTATGAAAGGTTGCCTGACATCAAGTCCCTATTTATATATTTAAATATAAGAATATTTACTATTTCTATAGTCTATAGATAAAATTTACAAAGAATTAGTAAATTTTTATTTTATTTTTTTGTAGTCGCTTGTAGAATATAATTTTTTCGCTAATTTTTGTAAACGCCTCGACAGAAGACAAAAATTTTTTTAAAAAAAAAATAGAATTTAAAATTAATCAACGAAGGTAAATATTAAAATAAAATTATTAAAATTAAAATTAATTATTAAAATTTTAAAAACCAAATATCACCAAAAAATATTTAAAGAGCAATTTAAAAAAATCTAATAAATGGATTTTTGAAAATTATTAGCACGATTTCAATGCATAATAAATTCTTTATAAAAATCGTATTTAATAAAAAATTTCAAAAATAGATTTATTAGGTTTTTTTTTATTAATTTGCTTTTATTTATATTTTTATTGATGAATTTAATTATTTATTTATTTTTAGAAAATAAATTTGAAAACAGGACTGACTATTTAATGACATTCAATTGCATGAAAAAAATACCTAATTTACACTAACTTTGCACTTATTTAAATCATTTTTCAACAATTATATAGAAGAAGAGGACTTGACATTGTATAAAAATATTAATTATTAAATGAATATTTTTAAAATTAGAGAAAAAATTATAAATATTGAAAAGAAATACAAGTTATATTGATTTTCAATATAATTAATAATATAATATAATAATAATAAAAAAAATAATAATAATAAAATTAATAATAATTTTCATAATTATTAATAATGAAAATTTAACATAATTTTATAATTACAATATAAAAAATAATTTACAAAAAGTAAAATTTTAATTTATAGTTAAAATTATATTTTAAATTGGAAACGAAATTATATGAAAAAAAATTTAATGAAATAAAAGTGGAAGACCTCCACATCCTCAACCTCACTTACTTCCTCCTTTTATTTCTTCGTATGAAAAAAAAATTTACAATTTTATATTTAAAAAAAAGTAGATAAATTAAAATTAATTTTTTAAATTAAATCGTTAATAAAAGTCAAGTACTAATCTTCTTAAAACACATTACTGCACAAAACGAAAAAAATTTTTTTAGTTTCACTTATATATTGAAGTTTACTAAAAAAAAAATCTAAGCTCACTGATGACATCACACAGCTACGATTATAATAATTATATCATCGCAATTAAATGAATGGCAAATTTTGGGAAAAGAAGAAAAAGGGAATTTCAGCACGCACCAAAATTGTATAATAATGTGAAGCAATTTTCACAATGTACATACACACATAGCAAAAAAAAAAAAAAAAAACAAAAAAAAAGTGGGGGAAAAATGTTTGAGACAGTACAAAAAACAATATTTTAGTTTATGTATACTTCTTTCTTTTCTTTTAATTATAGATACCAACAACTACTGATCACGACTCTTACAGTACCTGTTACATTTACCAGTGGCTACAATACGAATCGCTAAATATAATCGTCTGCCTTGATGTGTGTAATAATGTCTAAAAAAACGCTTTACTGCAAGTCTGCAAGTTTCTCAAATGTAAGCTGTATAATGCTAATCATTTATTGATTTATTTTTTGGCAAGTAGGATTTGAATTTTTTTTAAGGTAATATAAATGATTGTATGAAACGTAGAGAATATATATATATATTTTTTTTTACTAAGAAAAAATTCCTATAAAAGAAAAAATTAATTATTTCTTCAATTTTTTAATGATTTTTGATTTAGATCAAAAATGGAGAAAAAAAACATTGAAAATTGAAAAATTAATTAAAAAATAAAACTAGCTAATTTTATATATGGATTAAATAAATTTTATCTCAAAAAATAAGGAAGAGGTGAACGAGGAGAAAATAGAAGAAAACTGAATTTTAAAAATCATGAATAAAACAAAATGAAGAAAGGAATTTTTTCTAAATTAAAATTCTCTGATTTCTATTTAGCAAAAAAAAAAAAAAAAAAAAAAAAAAAAAAAAACGAGGAACAAGGCATATATAACGCATCTCTCTTTAAATTAGTTATGAATAATCTACATGTCCCAAGGCAATTAGAGCATTAGTATGTTTGATGTAATTAGTGATTTTCAACTGTGACTATTTTTGTATATATATTTGGTTAAAAATTTTTTTAATTTAAAAAATTTTTTTAATTTAAAAAATTTTTATTACTTGACTAATTTAAATATATCTTTTTCACAAATTTAATAAGTTTTAATAATTAATTTTTAAAATAAAAGTTTATTTTTTTTTATTAAAACAATATTAAATTTAATTCAATTACAATTATTAATTATTATTATTATTAAATAATTTTAATTAAATTAAGTAAATTGAATTTTTTTTAAATTAAATTTTAAACGAAAAATTACCCTAATTATATTAGAATAGAAATTAATATTTGTCCTTAAAAAAAAAAAGGTAATAAAAAAATGTTTTATAAATAAAGAAAGAGTAAATTGGTAAAAGAGTAAATAAAAAAAATAAAAAAATATTTCTTTAAATATTAAACAATTGCACTGAAAAATATTATTTGATTTAAATAAACAATTATAATTGACTATTATCTAAATACTTATTTAATATATAATAGTCAAGTATTTATGATTTATGTTTATAAATTATAAAATAAATTTTGGATTATTTATTTAAATTCAAATAAATTTTATTATCAGTGTATAAATTATGTAATATCAAAGCAATATTATAAAAAAAATGATTTTTTTTATATATATGTATGCTAAAGTTTGTAATTTGTAAGCACGTCAAGGTATGTAGCATGTTTTGTGTTTATAAAAAAAAAAATGTCAACTTATTAACTATGATAAAGATTTTTAATTTTTAAATTAAAATAATAAACCTAATTTCGATACTAAAAACAAATTCACTCGAATTAGCTGAAATTTTGACGAATAGGAAAATAATTCAGCAACAATTTGTAGATGCGGAAAATGAGAAAAAAATTTTCAAAAAATTTGAAGAAATGAAAGTGAAAGACCTCCACATAACCTCAACCTCACTTACTTCCTTCTTTCATTACTTCTTTGAAAATGAAAATTTTTTGCTCTCTAATTACAAAATTTATACATAGTTCCCTTTCCAACTGAATATTATTTTTTTTATATATTGCTATATTCAAAATTATTTTTATAATAAAATTTATAAATTTTTATTCAAATTGCATAAAAAAAAGGAAAAAATTTCTTGGACAATTCCAAAAAAAAAAAAAAAAAAAAAAAAAAAAAAATGAAGAAATGAAAATGAAAGGTCCTCCACATCCTCAACCTCACTGCCTTTCTTTTTTCATTTCTTCATTTTAATATGCTACATCTGAGTTTTTAGTTAGAAAATTTCTAGTTTCTCATTTCTTCGATTATAAAAAAAAAATTGAGTCTACATTTAATTTTATTTATTTAAAAAATAAGAAATATTTTTAAATAAAAAAAATAATCAGAATATTGTAAATTTTTAATATCGTTAATATTTGTACAAAAAAACTATATGAAATTAAAGCCAAAAAAAGGCTATAAATATTTTTTTAAAATCCATTAGTCTCAGTTAATAGATTTTTATTGTTTTTTATTATTTTTTATTTTATTTTATTTTTTTTTATTATTTTTATTATGTAAAAATAAAATAAAAAATAAATAACAGATTTTTATTTAACTAAATTTTATATATTTTTTTTTAACGGACAAAATTTTAATGTGAAAAAAGTAGTACAAAATTTTTTTTGTGAGACATAAATGTGAAAATTCTTGTACGTTTAGTATCAGTAGTAAGTGTCAGTTATAGTCAGACTATTGAAATTCTTATAATTTTAAGTATGTCAGTAGTTAAACGTAATTTCAGTCAGACAGAAAAAATTAAATTCTTGCAATTAAAGTATCAGTAAAGTGAAGAAAATAAAAAGTTCTGTATGTCTAAAACTTTTAATTTTAATTATTTTAAATAAATAATATTTCAACTATTTAAATTCTTTTAATTTTTCCTAGATACTAAAAAAATGAAAATTTAAAAAAAAAATTAAATCTCAATTTGATGAACTAAAAATTTGATAACTAATGGATTTTAAATAATATTGCAATCAAAGAAACGAGAAACCTGTAATAAATATAAAATTTTTAAATTTCATTACAAAAATAAATGGAAAAAATTTATATCATTTTGGGGGCGCATGATTATCTCATAATAATCATTAGTTAGAATTTTCATGTTTAGGAATTCTATTAGATATTATTTTTCAGAATTTGAATTTTTCGAATTTGCATTAACAGAATTTTTTTTTTTAAACAAATTTTTCACGTAACAAAATTTTTTTCTGTACCGAATTTTTTATTTAGCAGAATTTTTATTTCTCAAAATTTCTCTTTATCCAACATTGTAATTAATTAGAATTCAAATTTAAACGAATTTAATTAAGCATAATTCTAATTTAATTAAATTTTAATGAAGCACAATTTTTATTCAACTGAATTTTGATTAATTAAAATTTGGCTAAATTACAGTTTTAATTATTTTTAATTATTTTATTATTAATTTTTTATTAATTAAAATTCGGCTGAATGAGAATTTTGATTAATTTATATTCGGTTAAATTAAAGTTTTAATTAATTAAATTTCGGCTAAATAAGAATTTTGATTCATTAAAATTCGACTAAATGAGAATTTTGATTAATTAATTAATGAAGCACAATTTTTATTCAACTGAATTTTGATTAATCAAAATTTGGCTAAATTACAGTTTTAATTAATTAAACTTCGGCTAAATAAGAATTTTGATTAATTAAAATTCGGCTAAATGAGAATTTTGATTAATTTATATTCGGCTAAATTACAGTTTTAATTAATTAAGTTTTGGCTAAATAAGAATTTTGATTCATTAAAATTCAGCTAAATGAGAATTTTGATTAATTAATTAATGAAGCACAATTTTTATTCAAGTGAATTTTGATTAATTTATATTCGGCTAAATTACAGTTTGAATTAATTAAATTTTGGCTAAATAAAAATTTTTATTCATTAAAATTCGGCTAAATGAGAATTATGATTAATTAATTAATGAAGCACAATTTTTATTCAACTGAATTTTGATTAATTAAAATTTGGCTAAATTACAGTTTTAATTAATTAAATTTCAGCTAAATAAGAAATTTGAATAATTAAAATTTCGCTAAATTAAAATTCAGTTAAATTAAAATTTAAAAAAAAATAAAAAGTAAACAAAAATTCTGCCAAATAAATAGCAACTAAAAATTCCATAAAGTAAAAAATTCGTTTAAAATTCTGCCAAATGCTGATTCAAAAAAAAAAGTGAAAATTCATATAAAAAATAAGTATATCTAATAAAATATTCTTTCAAAATGAAAATAAAAATTCTGAATGATTTTTAGGGGACAATTTTATGAAGCGAAAATTGTAATTTTCAAACAAAAAAAAAGGGAATTTATTATCCTAATATTAAAAAAAAAACTCCTTTTCCTCCCACCAAAAAAAGAAAAAGCAAAAATATTTTAATCACTAATAAAAAGAAAATTGTCCAGTTGTATTTGCAGCTGGCTCAGAGCGCTCTTCCGTCGCACCCGCTCAACCCGAGAGGCCACCGCCCCCGCTTCCCCCGCCACGCTGTCCGAACAGCGGTGTCTGACAATGGGAAACTCCTCTTAATATTGGGAATCTGATGATAATGAATACACCGAACCCATTGCCATTACTATTTAATGCAAACAGCCTCAATTTAGAGTACCAGCTTTACGAATTAATTATACAGCGTAGTAAAGCCTGTTCTGCATTTATAAAACGAAATTTACGTCGTAAATCAACGGAAAACACGTCATGGAGTGTGAATTTCGACAGACAATGTATAGAATATTAAAAAAAAAGGACCTTTAGGTGTTTTTTTTTAGAAAAAAAAACAGTGCCTACTGTCCAAAGAGTGTCACATTAAATTCGATTTTAAAGAGTACATATTATAATTCTAATAATACTAATATTGCATTCGAAAGACTTTTTATCTAAAAACACGTATAAAAAAAAAAATTCTCGTATGCACATATATAAATATAGTGTGTATATTTTGTTTTTCTTTTTAATTTCCACATCAAAAATTGTAGATATATCGAGGAATATATGAGGAATATAATTAATGAATGATCAAATTATAAATAATTTAATGTATGAGAGAGAGAGAAAATGTTGAGAAAATACTGTCAACGCGCAGTGCTGTACAAATTCAGCGTTTAATTATGTATATCTATATATATATATATAAAAAATATAATGACTAGGAAAGAAAAAATTTTTAAGTTTGAAAAACTAAAAAAGGAAAAAGGACACGAAAATTATATTTGTGTCTAAAATAATATTAGTTAGAAAAATTGTCTCGTAAGCAGGTCGTATACAGACGAAACATGGAGCTGGACTCTTCCTTAAAAAAAAAAACTAGCATTTTTGCATTAATTTAAAAAAAAAAAAAAATTAACAACAAAAAATTTTAATTTTTTTTTTTCGTATAAAGTAAGATTTTTCGGAAGCAACCCCTAAACGTTAGGATGGCTTATATTATAATTAAACAATTTTAAAATAATATTGTAATTAAAATTTAATTGTTAAGATTTTTAAAAACGAAAATCAATATATAAAAAATATTTTTTAAGACTAGATTTAATTTAAAAAAAGAAAAAGAAAATCATGTTCCGTCAGTGTACTCCCAATTTATGGAACATTAATTATTCTGTTTCCTAAATTGTAAGTATCGTTTACCATTTGGGTAAAATCATGCACTCTTATCTCTTCAAAAAAAAAAAGACCTGTTCGACAGATGCTCAAAGGTTTTTTAGGTCTATAACAATTATTATCTAACTTGTAACTTTATATCTCTGCGACTATTCTTTTTAACATAATTCCAAACCAGTATTGAAAAAAATATATATTACCACTCGAAGGTCATGAATAGTTTCAATGTATGAAAAAAAAAAAAAAAAAAATCTCTCGGGAAAGTTCTTTGTGCCTAGATTTATTAAAAAAAAAAACTCGAACTAGATTATTAAAATTTATCACCTCTATAAAAAAAAAAATTCAATAAAAATTTAGTTTTTTTTTTATATAACTATTTAAAAATGCGTCGTTTTGTGAATTTTTGAGAAAATTTGAAACAAAATTTCCAATGTCAATAAAAAAAAAAAATTCGTCAATATTCGGGATTAGAACGAAATAATAGATATTTTACGTCACAAAAAAATATCATTGTCACGGAATTATTGTCAGTTAAAAAATTAGCAAAAATACAATTTTTTGGGGACAATTTTTAAATTATATAGCGAATAAGTTGATGACAAATCGACCAATTAAATAATTTAATGTAATTGAGAAAAATCCCATCTCAAAAAATTGAAAAACTATAAAAATAATTTTCCTATACAATATTGTGGAATTATCAAAGAAAACCTCTCGAGATTTATATATATATATATATATAACGAAAAAAGTGTAAAAAAAAAAATGTGGTACATATATAGAAGAATAACGAATGTTTAAGACACTGAGACAATTGAACCCATATTTAGGTACATAACATATTTTACAACAAAGAAAAGAAAAAATCACACAATTGTGCGCCTAAAAATTTTCTCATTATAAAGGTGATATAACACTTCTTCATTAAAAAGAGAATCGCATTTTTAATTAACGAAAATTGCTAAGAGATGTAATTTAATAGTACATAAGTTGGAATTTAGGAAAATTTTAAATAAAGAAAAGTACCATACAATTCTAAAAAAAAAAAAGAAACGAGAAAACGAAAGAAAATTTTGTGACAACAGAATTCTTTTTAATCGAATAAAATAAAACTTCAACTTCTAGATTCGGGATTCCCAAAAAAAAAAAAAGTAAAAAAGAAAAAAAAATGCGTGCGAATCTTGGATAGGTAGAATTATATAAAATTATTGTAAAAAAAAAGAAAGAAAGAAGATCGCTCAAAACTTTTTAAATAAAAAATACAACTACACACAATTTGCCTATATCGGTATTTATGTGAAAGAAAGAAAAAACAAAAATACTGACTGAAGAACTGCAGTAGTTGTAATAAACATCGTTATAAAGGAAAAAAAAAACGACTTGATTATGTATTCTTAAGTATCAAATAAATATCAGTCGTAAAATTTAATGTATAACATCTTATAATTGATCTTCTTTGGAGAACATCTGCCATTTTATATCAATAATAACAAAAGAACTGTATAAGTAATTACCGGCTAATTTTATTAAAATACCCTCCAATTTCCTATTCATTTTTTTTTTGTCTTTTTTATTTAATTATAGATTTTTTGTAAAATTTTTTCTTAATTAATTACTAAGTATACTAAATATAATATATAAGTAATGCATAATAAATATAAATATCAATTAATTAAAAATGTAATAAAAAATATACTAAAATAAATTGCTGAAAAAATAAATGATTAATATAAAATTGAAAATATAATAAAAATAAACTAAAATAAATTGCTGAAAAAATAAATGATTAATATAAAATTGAAAATATAATAAAAATAAACTAAAATAAATTGCTGAAAAAATAAATGATTAATATAAAATTGAAAATATAAAAAATTTTCTCACCACGGTGAAACAACTGAAAATAATGATTAATTAAACAAAAACAATATTTATAATACAATAGACAAATTTAAAAAATAAAATTAAACAACATAGTGGACAATAAAATAAAAATATCAATTATAATTTTAACTGGTACCTTTTCCAGTTATTTTGACAAATATATTTGTCACATATTTTTGATGTACATCGGACGTCAAAAATTTTCCGATTTCCCTACCTACAGCTATATTTAAAACGAAAAAACCCTAAATTTTCCGATTTCCCTACCTACAGTTATATAACGAAAAAAAAAACTAGTCTAAACATCGCGGGACATGAGCTCAAAATCACTCAAATTTCTGAAAGGTAAAGTACAAAATTAGTAATCTCCAAATTGAAATTGTAAAAAATTTTAATTTTATTTTTTAAATTTGCATGCATTAATTTTAATTTTTAATGAATTGTAAAATACAATTTAAAAAAAGAAAACAAACTAAAAGACAAAAGAATTTTTAATAAAAATTTTAATTTAATTTTAATTTTGAAAAAAAGAAAAATTACTTTTGAATTGTATAAGAAAAATTACAAAACAAAATATTAAACAAAATATACATAATAAATATATGAGCAATAAAAGAAAAACATTGGCAAAATAAATCGTTTGGTAGTTAATAATATATTTACTAGAAAATAATATATTTTGCCAATGGCGCCACTATGTTGTTATTATTTCTTCTCTGTTTTTTGAAAATTTTTAATAATTGCAATTGCATATTAAAAAAAAATTGAGAACATTATTTTTAAATTAATAAACTAAAAAATTGTACCAAAGAAAAATCAATTACTAAATTATAAATTAAAATTTTGTATCTAAAATTTCAATTTTTAAATTAGAAATTAATTATTTTAATTAATTTTAAATAATTCAAAACAGAGAAGAAATTAAAGAAAAAATCACTGACTATTATCGGTGAATCCCACGTTGGAGCACGTTGGTACTGCTCCGCCCTGCACCTCGTTCACATCCTTCCTTCTTTTGAATTTATTTGAACGCCAAAGCTGAAACTAAATTAAATATTTATTAAAAAATCAATTACCATTAATTTTTATTTATTTTTAAACACTCTAATTATTGCTGACAAATTAATTGTTAAAGCGTGTTATTTATTATTCTCTATAACAGAAATTTGGAAAATTATGATTTATTGAATATTTTAAAATTTTAGATATATTTTTAATAGAAAATTATTTATTTAAATAAAAAATAAATTAAACGAAACAAAATTAATCATAAAAAAAATAATATATAAATTTAAAAAAAAATACTCACTATTGTGAATTTCATCAGAAAAGAAAAAACGATGACTGCAAATCCACCCCTTCTTCTCTCTTCTTGACACCAAATGACTGAAAATTTTCAGAAAAAAAAAATGTAATAATTCAATACGTTATAAATATACTGTTTTGTTCTTCAAAAATCAAATAATAAAATAGAAAAAAGGGAAAAAATTTTATCAACATACATTGAACTGCGACTCGGCAATGCCCGATCTCCTCCAGGAGCTGCTCTGCAACAAACACCCATCCTTCATGTATTGGACAACTGAAAATTGAAAAAATGTTATAAAAACAAAGAAAACAAAATTTTTTCGTCGATTTTATCCTAATTCAAATAAAAAACTCACTATGGATTATATTCGATTGTGCACTAAGCTCATCTTGAAGGCAGCATCAGGAATATTATCTTCATGAAGACATACGCGACACGCGGTTTAAAAGAATATGAGTTTTCAAAAAAATTACAAGTTTGGATAATTTACCGAAAAAAAATGAAAATAAAAATACTTGTAATGAAAAAAATATCTAATTAGCAAAATACGCTTCCCATCGATGGGTTCTACATTAAACATCTGGGTCCACCTAAGCGCATTATTAAAAAAAAAGTATTTTTTTCGAAATTTAGAAAATTTTGACTATTGAATATTAATTATAATAAAAAATCCGGATTAACTTTAAAATTTGTGTAATTTAAAAAAATGTTAACTTCTGACAATTTTAAAACGACAAATAAATTTTATTTTATCAATTAAACTTGATTTTTTCAAAAAAAAAAAACAAAAAAAAAATGAAATTGAATTGAATATTTAAAGAACGTTAATACGGAACGAAAATTGGCCTAAAAAAAGGGAGAAAATAAAAGATAAGAAAAAAAATAGTTTACTAAATGTATAAAATAAAATACTAATTAAAAAATTATCAAATTGAATTTTAATTTTTGGAATAAAAAATTTTGAGAGATTTAACACTTTATAATTTTCTATTTTAAACAAAAAAAAAAGTATTTTTAACTTGTAGTTATTTTTAGAAAATAATAAAATTTCCCCTGTTTCCAAAGAAATATTATAAAAATATATTTTTAAAGTGTAAAAAATGTTACAAAAAAAAATGTTTGAAAACGAAGAGACAAATTAATAATACGTTAATTACCGAATTATTATAAAGAGGTAAATACACAACCAAAAAAAAATATAACAATAATAATAATAATAATTTTTTAAACAATAATATAATTTTTTTTATCAAAATGAAAAAAGAAACCAAAAGAATAAAAATATTAATTAACTCACCATTAGCAGACAAATTCCCCTAATTACTCTCCTGGCGATTCAGAAACCTGGATTTGATTACGTTTCATCTGATTATCGCCCATTGATTGTAGCTGTTAGGAGAAAAATCTGAAACAATGAAAAAAAATGCACCATAATTATCACTAAACTTTCCAAAAAAAGCGAAGAAAAAAAAAATTTTGCTTCACTTCACACACAAGGTTAGGTTCGCACAAAATTTTCATTGTTACAATTTTGTTCAAATTATTATTTGACGCTATCACAAATATAAAGCCCGAATAAAAATGACTAATTTTTTTTACCAAAAATTATCCGATTTATACGATGCTTGTAGCACATACTGATAATAAAAGCGAAAATTGAAGAAAAAAAAGCACTGAACAAAAAGCACTGGCAAATGCGAATCAATCAAGAATCGAATAAAAATGGCCGCCATGAGTTCAATTTTCGTCATATATCATTCAACTTTGCAAAACAAAAAACTAATTAATTTCTAAATATTGTTAAAAGAAATTTGCTTCACCTCACACATGTGGCTATGTCGCACCGGTCACACAAAATTCCCTTCATCCCAAATTCCCCCCCCCCCCAATATTCACGATGCGATTTTCTCTGCCGTTATCAAAAATAAAAATGGCTAATTTTTACTAAAAAATGATCTCAGGTGCTAATAATCGCGACACTAATAAAAACGAACAAAAAAAGAAATGTAAATTTGAGAAAAAAGCACTGAACAAAAAACACTGGCACATGCAAATGAATAAAAGAATCGAATAAAAATGGCGATTATAATGTATTAATTTTTCCTAAAACAATAAAATACTCACATTTACAATTTGTAGACATTGTTGAACATCAGGGCAGTAAGAAATATTATTATTCTTCTTTAAAATACCAGGTGGATTGATGTAGATTGAAGAAATCGCCGCAAAGGCGCGCCAAATGAACAATGGACGCCATACAAAAGAGAAGGGGATGCTAACCGGAAGAGAAGGAGCTTTCGTTTCATTGCAGGTCTCTGATTGGTCCGAATGATGCGGATATTGCTCTCATTGGCCAGTGGAGGAAATTCGAAATTTGTCGTTTTTTCACAACAATTATAATCTTTTTTTTAATATTAATACAACACTTTTTATATTAATTCATGATATGGAAACTGAATATTGAAGTATAATGTTTAATAATTTATGATTATTTTTGTATTAATGTGATTTATTATAATTATTACTGTTAACGGAAAATTAGTTTCATATTTTGGGCCAATTAAGAGATAGCAAGCACAAGCGCCATTGGAGGACAAATTACACTGTAGTGAACTTCTAAGGTTGGCAACAATGGAATTGGAAATCATTGCAGGGTTGAGTTGTTACATTATTTTCTAACCTCACTTTTTGTATCAATTTAATTTTATTATTATGTAAACAAATAGTAAACAAATTCTAATTATGTGTATTAATTATGTAAATTTGTATATAAAAAGATTCAAGAACTAAAATAATTTAAATTAAATATCAACTTTTATTTTTAATGAAAGTAGAAGACAATTTTAATAGAAGATATCTACTCCAAACAATAATGAATAAATTGAAGAAAAGAAAATTTAGGATAATTTTCTACAAGAATGTTTAAATATATCTTTTTAAAAAAAGGTATAAATTAAAAAAAAATTGTTTTGAATTCATTAATATTATTGGTATCTATTTTAGAAGCAGTTTAATGTAATTTATTCTTAATTTTATTAAAAATGCATCTTTTGAATTAAGTAAATAATTATTCTCAAGAATTATCTAATTAAAGAATTTATTTTTAGGATTCTTTTACGATAATATTCGCAATAATATTTAAATAAAGTAATTTTAACAATATTTAAAAAAAATGGAAAGAAGCAAATGATTCCTTTCAATAAAATTTTCTCGGTCACAAGACGTGTGATCTTGAACTGATGCGTGACATTACACTGCATATATATATAAGCGAATTATCCAATTGATAAATGTTAATAAGAGGAATATTTGATAACTACAAGTCTAAGAGAATAGTTTGCTGTTTTCTTCAAATGATTTGGAATGCATAATTAGAGCATCTAAAGGAGGACATGCCTTATGATCAACGAATCCGTGTCACTGAAAGAATTGATGACATCAATATCAAAACTTATAGATTTTATCAGGTGTTGTCAATAAGAAAAATATTAATTACTATTATTAGTAATATTTGGTAATATTAATTTATTAATTAATTAAACAAAATACATTATTATTACAGATTTAAAAACACAGATTAATTATTTTTATTTAATTTAAATAAATATAATTTAATTTGTTATTAATTTCATTAAATTCATAATTTAAATTTTTTAAAAATTTCCTTAGAATTTATTTCTCATTAACGTTGGAGAGAATTTGACCTGGTTTTATTAATTTAATCTAATTTTATCTATTATTATTATTATAAATATTAATTTTATTACTATAAATTTAAATTTTAATTATTTTATTCATTTTTTTTTAATTTCAGGAAAATTGATGTCATATAAAAATTTGAAATTGATGGTTAGAAAATAATTCCTATATGTTAACATCATTGGCGTTATTATTAGATTAATTTATAATTATAGCATTTCTCCCTCACGTGCATTCGTATATAATGCTTAATTCGCCTAATCATTTTAGTAACTAGATCTCGAGACGGATATTACACAAGGCGAGACAAGCTACAGCAAAAACAGATAGTAAGAAAATTCGCGTGAGAGCTTAGAGAGATGCATCTCACAAATCAGGGATGTAGATATAGAATTAATTAATTTTTCAACAAATATCTCATCAATTTTTTTAATCAGAATTAGTTTTTAAAAATAATTAATTAATTGTCAATATCAATTTTTTTCTTTCTTTAAATTTTATTACTAGAATTAAAAATCGTAATTTTCATAATTTATTAACTATTTAAAAAAAAAAAAAACATTATTTAACTATTGTTAATTTATTTCATCGGTAAATTAATTTCAAATGGAATTTTTAATTAAATTACGAAAAGAAAGTTTTATATTATTGTCAGTGACATATGCTAAAAACTGATTTCATGTGAAAATTATTTTTGGTAATTTGCCCATCCCTGTGCCGAGTGTAATGAGACCCGAGTTTCGCGGAATGGTTTTCTATTAATTGTCCCTTTTTTTCCTCCCAACGACGAAAAGGTCCCTTAGACGATGTGGAATCAAGAGAGGGTAATCCACTGAAGAAATCTCATTTTCGCGAGACGTGAAGAGTGGGAGTTTTCGTCTCGAGTGCAAAAAGGGAACTTGGGGAAGCTCCAGTCGACGAAGACCTCCAGATGCTCGACATGCGGCTATTTCTCGTGGTCCTCGTCATTTTCGCGAGATCCGTTTTTTCCAAGTTTTATGTAAGATTCGTCATTTGTTGTTTTTTTTTTTATCCAATCATAATAAGAAAAAATTTTAAATCTTAAATATTATTTTAAAAATTCAAATTTTTGACAAGTGTTTAATAATTTATAAATGAATGAAAATTAAAAAAAATTGGAGTCATTTTTTGGTATTTAATTCAATTTTTTCTTTCTAGGAAAAAACAAGATATGACAGATCAATAGGCAGTAATAATGTTTCGCCGGAAGATAATTATTATTCTAATTCTTTAAGTTTTACGGATTACCGTACAGTGAGTACATTTTGTTTATTTATTTTCCTAAACGTTTAGGGAATATTAAATTTATGATTTCATTTTCATTGTAGAATTTCATTGCATACAAAGATGAGATACAAAACACGTGTTATCTGGAAAGAATAAAACGAGATGTTTTTCCTGATACGAATTTTTTTAAAAACATCTACAAAAGTAAACCGAGGACTCTATACGTGTCAAGTGAAATTTTAGATAAATCAGAAGTAAATATTTTAATATTTAATAGTAATAAATTAATTATTTAATCTAATTATCTAACAGTTAATTTACAATTAGTTAATAATTAATTTAGAGTACGAATTAATTTAAACAAATGAATGTGATTTTAAATTCTATAGGTGGAAAAATTCGCAGGTGAGCGAATAGTGCACTTTTGTCAAGATGCGATAATAATATTATTAGTGGATAGAAAATCAAATTTAATAAAAGAAGAAATTGTTGATAAAAATTTTGAATTCAATGAAAATTTGAATAATTTTCAACCATTTCAAAATCGATTGAAGAGAAATATTTTTACAAAGCAACATTTGGATCATAATAAACGAAAGACTAGACAAACAAATCCTTTTCGTGGTCGATTTCGAGGTCAAACTCAAGCACAGTATATGAATACAAATTCTAATGGTCCAAAAGATGGTAAAGCAGAAGCTGAGGCAACTCAACAATCATCTCGTGCAGTTGTCAGTACGTAAATATTTTCAAACTCGAATTATATTTAATTTTTTATTTTTAAAGCTCATTTTCATTAATTTAATTTATTTATTTTTTATTATTCATAAATTTATAAAATAAAATTCACTTTTTTCTGTTAGTTAATATATTAACTAAAATAAAAAAATTCTTTTTAAAAAACTAATGTTAAACAATAAAAAAAAAAAATTTAATTTCTTAGGCGGTAGCAATGGAATGGGCCAGGCACAAAGTATGTCATCAGGTGGAACTGGATGTGAAGGATGTCCTGGATTTCCAACAGGACCTACAGGACCTTCGGGAGGATCAACTGTTTATCCAGGAGGTGTTTATCCCGGTGTTATTCAAAAACCAGGGACTACTGGAGTTTTAATACCGCCGTATCCACCAGGTTCCACCGGAGAACGAATTCCAGGTCAATTACGACCAGGAGATGGAGTCAGTTATCCTGGTGGTGTGCCACCAGGAACAGTTCCAGGACAGACTATTCCTGGAGGAACAGTTAGACAACCGGGATCAATACCTGGACAAATGATACCTGGAGGAAGGCCAGGAGGCACTACTGGACCAGGTGGAGGAACATATCCAGGAGGCATGATTCCTGGACAAACGGGAACACCGGGTACTTATCCAGGTGGACAAACGGGAACTGGAGGAACAGGAGGAGGTACTTATCCTGGCGGTGCAGTTCCAGGACGAGGTTATCCGGGACAAATACCTGGTGGAACGTATCCTGGAGGACAAACTGGGCCAACAGGACCGACAGGAGGAGTTACTTATCCAGGAGGTGCCGTACCTGGACAAACTGGAACACCTGGATCTTATCCAGGAGGACAAACACCACCTGGAGGTGTTACTTATCCAGGAGGTGCCGTACCTGGACAAACTGGAACTTATCCTGGAGGACAGACGAGACCAACAGGCGAAATACCTGGAGTTAGTTATCCTGGCGGTGCAATTCCAGGACGAACTTATCCAGGACAAGTACCTGGTGGTACGTATCCTGGAGGAACTACAGGACCAGGAACTGGAGTCACTTATCCTGGTGGTGTTGTACCTGGACAAACTGGAACGCCTGGATCTTATCCTGGAGGACAAACGACACCTGGAGGGCAAACTTACCCTGGAGGACAGACGGGACCAACAGGTGGAGTACCAGGAGGTACTTATCCCGGTGGATCAGTTCCAGGACGAACTTATCCGGGACAAATACCTGGTGGAACGTATCCAGGAGGACAAACTGGGCCAACAGGACCAACGGGAGGAGTTACATATCCCGGAGGAGCGGTACCTGGACAAACCGGAACACCTGGATCTTATCCAGCACAGGCGCGACCTGGAGGAACATACCCAGGAGGACATACAGGACCAACAGGTGGAGTGCCAGGAACAGGGGGAGGTACCTATCCTGGCGGTGTAGTTCCAGGTCAACCAGGAACTTATCCTGGACAGAAACCTGGAGGACAGCCTGGAACATACCCAGGTCAAGGCACTTATCCAACGGGACCAACGAGAGGAGGACCAGGAACTTATCCAGGTGGAACAATTCCAGGAACGCAAGGCACTTATCCAACCCAACCAGGAGTAGGAGGAACTTATCCTGGAGGAGCAATACCTGGACAAATGATTCCAGGAACAGGAGGATCGTACCCAGGTGGAGCAATACCAGGACAAATGGTTCCAGGAACTGGAGGAACTTTACCTGGACAAACAGTGCCAGGAACTGGAGTGTCGTATCCAGGTGGAGTACCACCAGGACAAAATATTCCAGGAACGGGAGGAGTGTCCTATCCAGGAGAAGGAATACCTGGACAAACAATTCCAGGAACGAGAGGAGGTTCATATCCAGGTGGTAGCGTTCCCGGACGACCTGGAACATATCCTGGCCAAACTGGTCCCGGGGGAATGTATCCTGGGGGACAAACTGGACCGGCTTATCCTGGTGGAATGATACCTGGACAAACAGGAACGTCGGGGACGTATCCTGGTGCACAGACTATTCCAGAAACAGGGGGATCTTATCCTGGAGGAACAGTACCTGGACAAATGATTCCAGGATCAGGAGGAACATTACCTGGGCAAACTGTGCCAGGAACTGGAGTGTCGTATCCCGGTGGGGTTCCACCTGGACAAACAATTCCAGGAACTGGTGGATCTTATCCAGGTGGAGCAATACCTGGACAAATGATTCCAGGAACAGGAGGATCATACCCAGGTGGAGGAATACCGGGACAAATGATTCCAGGAACAGGAGGATCATATCCAGGTGGGGTTCCACCTGGACAAACAATTCCAGGAACTGGTGGATCTTATCCTGGCGGAACGATACCTGGGCAAATGATTCCAGGCACTGGTGTATCATATCCTGGTGGTGTGCCACCTGGACAAACAATTCCAGGCACTGGTGGATCTTATCCCGGCGGAGCAATACCGGGACAAATGGTTCCAGGAACCGGTGGAACTTATCCTGGCGGAGCAATACCTGGTCAAGCAATTCCAGGAACAGGAGGATCTTATCCTGGAGGAGCAATACCGGGGCAAATGATTCCAGGTACCGGAGGAACAATACCTGGACAAACTGTACCAGGAACTGGAGTATCGTATCCCGGTGGGGTTTCACCTGGTCAAACAATTCCAGGAACTGGTGGATTGTATCCTGGCGGAACGATACCTGGACAAATGATTCCAGGAACAGGAGGATCTTATCCAGGTGGAGCAATACCTGGACAAACAATTCCAGGAACAGGAGGATCTTATCCTGGTGGAGGAATACCGGAACAATTGATTCCAGGAACAGGAGGATCATACCCAGGTGGGGTTCCACCTGGACAGACAATTCCAGGAACTGGTGGATCGTATCCTGGCGGAACGATACCTGGGCAAATGATTCCAGGCACCGGTGTATCATATCCTGGTGGTGTTCCACCTGGACAAACAATTCCAGGCACTGGTGGAACTTATCCCGGCGGAGGACTACCTGGACAAATGATACCAGGAACTGCAGGATCTTATCCTGGCGGAGCAGTACCTGGCCAAATGATTCCAGGAACAGGAGGATCTTATCCCGGCGGAGCATTACCTGGTCAAACAATTCCAGGAACTGGTGGACATACTGTGCCAGGTACTGGAGTATCATATCCCGGTGGAATACCACCTGGACAAACAATTCCAGGAACAGGAGGAGTGTCATATCCCGGATGTTATAATAATGTTTGTCCTCCTGGTGTATCTTATCCAGGAACTTATCCCTCTCAGCCAGGTGGAACTACTGGACCTGGAAGAGTTCCAGGTGGAATTCCAGGACAAATGCCAGGTATTTATCCCGGTCAAACTGGTCCTGGAGGACCGACATATCCCGGCGGTGCTGTTCCAGGAACTTATCCCGTTGGTACCATTCCAGGTGAGTTTGTTTTCTAATCACTTTCTTTAATCTTCTTATCATCATGTGATTTTAATAATTATTTTTTTTTGTTTTACATATTGTTAATAACAGGAGGAGTTCCTGGAACTGGTGTTTCGTATCCTGGTGGTATTCCAGGAATGGGTCAAGTTTATCCAGGAGGTGGCATTCCAGGTACAATTCCTGGTAGTTATCCAGGTGGCAGTATCCCTGGCACATATCCTGGAAGTGGAACTTACCCACCAGGAACATATCCAACGGGAGGTATGTATTTTCATTTTTATTAATCAATGACTGTAACAAAGATCACAGTTGGACTTAATTTTTTTTTTTTTTCTAGGTATTCCTGGCGGAGTCATACCTGGAGGAACGACTGGATATCCAAGAGGAGTTGTTCCAGGTAACGGAATCAAAACACAAAGTCTTTTTCAGTTTCAAAATGTGGAATTTTTTCAGGAACACCAGGAAGACAGGGCGGACAAGTTTACCAACCAGAAGGTTATCCAGTTGACGATGGATCCGATTCAAGTGCAATTAGCTCAGTGAAACAAGGCGAGGGTGGAACGCACGCGAGTGCATCGGCTCAGGGTAAATTTGGCACAGGTTCATCTCAATCTCAAGTAAGTGGAACATACACTGGTGGTGGGTCATTTTCCGCACAAGCTGGCACGCAGGATGCAAATAAAAGTGCACAAACACAAGTCAGTGGTGGCAAAGAAGGTGCAATCAGCAGTGCACAAGGATCTGGTGGTCTTGGCAAAAGTCAAGTACAAGTTCAATTAAATTCGGAATCAGGTGCAACGTCAACAAATGCCCAAAGCGGTGGCTGGAATCACGGGACAAATTCTCAAGTTCAAGCAAGTTCTAAAGGTGGAATGGCAGACGCTCAGGCTAATGGCGAAGGTCAAACTTTCAGTCAGGCACAAATTGGTTTTCAACCATACATGAAAACTGAAGAGAAGCCAGAGAAAAATACAAAACCATTCCGAGGTGGTGGTACCGCATCAGCACAAAGTGGCACTTATCGAGGACAATCACAATCACAAATTGAAGGCTCTTTTAAATATGGAATCACTTATACGGGAGCAGCTCAAGCTGGCTCAGGATCAGGAGCAGCTGCAGCAAGAAAACCATTCAATTTTTCCGATTCAAATTCAGATTTCTTTAAAAAATTCAAACCCTACGTTCCGCCTGCATTAGGCGAAGATAAAATTGACAGCACCACATCACCTCATATTAACGATTATGATCTAGATGATCGACAAGGTCTACAAACAAGTTCAAGTTCGAGAAAAACAGTTGTCGCTACTCTATCAAAAGAAGAAAAGAAAATGCAATTTGAAAATAAACACAAAGCGGAGGAAAATTATGATGAAGACGATTATGAGGACTATGAAGACGATGAATTTAATTATAATGGAAGAAGTAATTCGGATATTTCTCATAAGACCATTAAAGAATCATCAATGATTCGTGACAGTGATAGTTTTCAAGATGAAGCACTACCCGGTTATACAATGTCCCCAAGTTATCGTAATTCAAAATTGGAAAATAAAAGCATCACACAGGAAAATAAATCAGAATTCACAAAAACTGATTATGAGCAAAAAAATCAAACTCACAATCTAGAGAGTTCAAGTCATCAGCAATCATCAAATAGTAGTGCAAAAACAAATTATTACACAGTTTCAAATAGTATCGCTGGTAAAATGGAAGATGGAAAGGTACCTGTAAAAAAATACGAGCATCGATATTATACAAAAAGTTCAACGTGCGGTTATTTTACATTCTCATGTAATGTTGTTTATGGCTCAAATGGAAGAACAAAAATTTGCAAACCTAAAGTTCCAACACATCCAGACGGAACTCCAATTAAATGTTAACGAAAATTGAATTTATCTTTTTTTGTTCGCTATTTACAAAAAAAATCTTTACTAATCTAAATTGTATAAATTACAATTAGGCTTTAAGTTTAATATATCACACGTTTATCGTGCTTATGTACTTATAGTGTTTAGAATAAAATCTTTTTCTATAAAATATAATTTCTACAATTAATGAGTCAATAATTTATGAAAGACAACAAAAAAAAATTCAATATATACGGTTTATTTATTTTTCTTCATACACTCTAGTTTGATGGATAAAATAATTTAAAAAAAAAGAATTAATTGCTCATTAAAGAGTGTAATCTCGAGGTATTTTGAGGCTGCGTATTAAAATACGCATTATTATTGACGAGAGGAATTTACAGTTAAAAATAGAGGAAATTTTTTCCTTTCTTTTTCGTGGCAGATAAAATTGTAGCAAAAGAAAAATATAAATTGCAAATATTAAAAATTTATAATTCGATTTAAAAAAAAAAGGCTACAAAAGGAATGTAAAAAATAAAAATATGCCTTGTAAAAAAGTTTAACAAAAAAATATAAAAAAATAAATACATAACAGGAGTATTTTGCTCATGACGTTTTGACACGATTTTTTTCAGTCATTTTTTTTTTCAGTTAATTTTAGAATCTTATTTTGTTAATAATCTCCGACGAATGTCTAAAACGACACCTATATAATAACTATTTTCTACTTACTATTTTATATACAATTTTTTCTTAATTAATTTCAATTTACAGTTTATATTTTTAAACTGTTTTTCTTTTAGTAAGGAGTGTCTTTTTTTCCGTTTTGCCTTAAATATAATTTTTTTTAAATTTCTATTTGATTCGAAGAATAATAGTCCAGGTACGTATTTTACAAATATTTGCTTTTTTTTAAATATCTCGCCAAACTGGCGAAATTTCTCTTGATTCTTCATTCTCTTCTTCGCGTCTTTTGTCATCTTTTATCTCTGTTACTATATCAGGTGCACAATTTTCAGAGTTGTTCAATGAGACTCTATAAAAAAAAATATATCAATAAAAATTATTATTAAATAAAATAATTAGATATTAATTTTTCAATTGAATTAAAAATTTGTATTTTTGTATTTATTGTTAAAATATATAATTTTTTAAATTTTAATTTAATCTCACCTATTTTTGAAATGTTCTAGTTGAATATTCGCTGCTTCAAATTGCTCCACAAGACATTCATTTGTTCTTTGTAACTTTCGAACATTATTTGTAGCCACGTCCATATCATCTTGTGCAGAAGCCAATTCCTTCTTTAATTCCTCAACTCTCGAACGAACTCTTTTCACTTCCGCTTCATATTGCTCTGATCTTCTAATTGCGTGCGACAATTCCATAGTTTTGTCACCAAACATTTTTTTCATCTTCGAATAAGCGTGCTTCAATTCAACTAATTCCTTTGGGGGAAAAGAAATGGTTAGATTTATTAAATACTAATTTACTAATTAATTCTTAAATTAATTATTTTCGAAATATTACTCTTATTATTTTTATTATTATTATTATTATTATTATTATTATTAGAAACCAAAAAATATAAATATAGAATGAAGAAAAAATTAAATTAAAACGAAAAGTGAAATCGTTTTTAAAGAGAATTAAAAACTGGAACATTACCTTATTTCTGTCTAACAGTTCTTGTTGTAAAATTCTTCCGTCAGCGTCGGACGTTGAAACAGGTCGCGTTCTTCGTGAATCAACTTTTTCCTGTAAATCGCGCATTTCACCTCGTAACTGTTTATTTTCTCGTTCTAAACAAATTTTTTCTGTTTCTAAACGCTCACGTTTTCCCCATTCAGCGGCATTTTCCACTTGTAATCTCTCCAGCTGAAAAATTATTATTTATTATTATATTATTAATTATTATAAAGAGGAAAAAATTAAAGTAATATATAAAAAAAAAATTGACCTCAGTTCGAAGTTCCGAGAGACGACGATCCATGCCCTCTCGATTAGAAGCTTCGTCTATTAAATCAGCTTGTGCTGCATTAAGTTCACCTTGAAATTTTTCTTTCAATTCTAAAAGCTCTTTAATTGCTTCTGTTCTACTGTCTTGTAATTCCCTTAAAGCCGCTACTTCGGATTTTAATTTTTCCATACCACGATGTAGAGATGATTTTTCTCTGTAACAAATTTTTTTGCATTTAATTTTTCAAATTTTAATTTTTAAAAATTTTTCAAATTCTCTTTACTCACTCTCTTTCGGCGGCAATTGTTTTAGTTGCTTCTTCCAATCGCAATTGAAGCATAGACATTTTTTGTAAAAGATATTCCTCATTTCGTATTTCCAATGATGATTGACGTTTATTTAATTTATCATTTTGTGTTGTTGACGCTTCGGCAACTAATTTTGCAATATCTCTATCCAATGAAACCATTGAACTCTCTTTATATAATTCAACAGCATGTTTTGGAACAGCACCTTGCAATACATATTCCTCAATATCACGATCAGACGATGAATTATGATTTTCAGCATTATTTGAATCTAAATCAATTGTTGGACTATGAATAATATATTCTTTATTTTCAATTGATGTTGAATTATCACTTTGTTCAACATTATTGTAAACCTCTAATAATTCATCGATACCCAATGCATTTCTTAATTGTGGATCTGATTCTAAAATTGAAACAATTTGTTGATCAAATTTACCAGCGTGTTTTAATAATATCATATGTATTTTATCCATTTCTTTTTTTAATTGTTCATTTTGCATTTCCATATCTTGCGCTTCATGTTTATATGTATTTGCATCTTTTATTGCAATTTCTAATTTTGTTCTTAATACTTTTGCCTCTTCTCGTGATTTATTACGTTCATTGCGAACTTTGCTCCATTTTTCACGCCAATTTGCTGTACAATCTGACCACCATCTCATTGTTTTTTCCATTTGTGCCGCTCTCGCTCGTGCTTCCTCCAATTCTCTCTGTCGCAAGGCCTGTAATTTTTTTTTTTTTTTTTTTTTTTTCATAAAATAAAAAATTTTACCAATATTTCTATTTCTGAAAGCATTTGACGTAGAAATTTTATCGATCACTTGAATAAATAGAAAAAATTGAATATATTTGGATAAATCAATATAGAACTATTAAAATAAAGTGTTTTTTTTTCCAAGGGAACCTTTTTAAATTGATTAAGTAATCAAATGTCAATTTTCGTGTTTTAAAAAAATAAGTCGTAAAGCAAAAAAAAATTACCTCTTTTGTTTCCCAGTCACTATCAGTGTAACGAGTTGTTCCAGAGGGACAGACATCATTATCGCGAATGATTCTCCTCGAAGAAGTTCCACTTGCTGAGGATTGTGCCATGATAAATATATAAATTGTATATTCTAACCTAAAAAGGCGAATTCACGATTTTACACTCCCGCACTTTTGGAAGAACATTTTCAATAATGAAAAATTTATAACAATAGTAAGTAATTAACACTTTATAATACCGTAATTATTCTTTACCTTTAAAGTTATAAATAACTAAATATTTACATTATTGATTATCAATGACAATATATTCAATATTTTCCATTTCAATAATTAACGATTCGTAAAGAAACAAATTATGCATATTAAATCCCTATTTTTAATAACGAAATATTTTTCTAATTTGTTTGTAAATTAATTAGTATATATATATTTCCGTTGAAAATTGGTTCCCACTTTGTGGTTTCACTCAGATTTAAATAGAATATTTTTCCACTAATTATAAAATCTTTGGCAATTTTAGAAAAACTATTAATTAAAGAAATAAATAATAATTTGTTTTATTTATTTCTTTTTTATATAAAATTATTATAAATTGAATAAAATTTGATGTAATTGTCACACGTGTGACAACTGACAGCTTCCACGAAATATCAATATTTTCACCGATAGATAGCGTTGAGTACATTCGCGGGAATTCAAATTTTCTAACATTTATTAATTTAAAAGTAATAAAAACAGAAGTATTATAGTTAATTTAATCAAAAAATAATAATTTAATTTTCAAAAATTTTTTTAAATTCAATAATATTTTATCACTAATGACAATCAGATTTAAGTTTCTCCTTGAGGAGATTGTGATTGGACGAAATTTTCCTAACCTCAAAATGTCAAATGACATTGTTGTATAGAAAATGTCGTCTGCTGAAAAAGAAATTGACATTTTAACATAATTTTAACTATAATAGTGAAAAACAAGCATGTAGCCTGAAATTAAACACATTTTTTTCAAGGTTGTACGTGATTATTTATCAATAAAACAGAAAATATATCAACAGACCATGAAAATACACCAATATTATCTTTGATGTTAGTCATTAGAAGAGACAAATGAAAGTAAATGTCAAAGTAATACACGAAGTTCTAAATTGAATTATCATATCAAATTTCTTAATTACTATAATATTTGAAATTTCATTCGTTTAAAACACGATGGGATTGTCTTTTCAAATATCAAATAAAATTCGACTTTATAAAAAAGTTAATACAAAAATATTATCAAATTATCTGGATGCACGACGAACACGACTTTTGGCTGAATTACAAGGTAAATATGATAAATTATTTTATTTACTGTTATTATATTTTTCTAATTCCTTTTTTTTTAAAAACAGTTTTATGAATATCTACTACAGCATGACAAATTTCCTTTTTCTTGTTTAAATACGAAAATTTACATTCAACGAAAATATTATTTTTTTCCATTTGACACACTTTGGATTTATTTTTAATAACATTTTAATACATATTTGTCGATTATGAAGAAAATTCATGATTCTAGGGGGAATATTGTGAATGTTATGCCGTTAAAAATGCAACGTCCTCGTTTCACTCGAACAGGTATTAATAAATTTACGATATGAATGAATTTTATAATTAATACAGAAAATTAATTATCAATGAATATATTAATTTTAGGAAAAAATATGTCTAGAAAGAGGAGTTTTTATATTTTAGTTGGAGTTGCCACGGCTTTTATCTTTTTTTTGGCATTAAATCAACATTACAACAACTATTTTGAACATCAATTGCAGCCAATGATATCGGTAAGTTATTTATTCAGCTAAATGAAGATTCGATTTAATTAAATAGAATCGAATAAATTAATTATCTTTATTAAAAATACAAATAAATTTTTTTTTACATTTAATTTTGAAAAATTTTTTAAAATTAAAAAAAAAATTCAAATTGGACAATTTTCAATAATGAAAATTATACGTTACTTTAGACAGATTTAGCGTTATTATATTAGAAATTCACAATCAGCACTTATAGCACATTAAATTCAAATTAATGTAAATTAATTTTGCTTTATACAATTTCAATATTTTTCAATTAGAGCACAATGCTTTAGTATTTAATTCTTAAATTCAATGAAATTCTAATTTTCCGTTAAAAATTATTCAGAGGAAAAAGAAAAATTGCAACGAAAAATTATTCATGAAGTTTTGGTCTTATTTATTTAATTTTTTTTAAATTCAGGATGCCGAGTTAAAGTTACGGCATACGAAAATACATCAATCTTACACAGTAAGTAATGGAGGGGCAAAAAAGAAATGTGTATTTTTGAAAAAATGTTTTCTGCTCGAAGTTCGTGATTTCTTTTATTTATTAGTTTTGATAAAAAAAAAAAAGAATAGAAATTTGTTTAGTTGTCATTTTCAAGTTTTTAAATAAATTTGAAAAAAAAAGTTTTTCTATTAGAAAAGAATTTTATTTTTCGTTGCATGAGCATGTTATTAATTCTCGTTTTTTTATCTACTTTTAGAAATTGAAATTTGTTTTTTGTGTATTTAATTTCATTTTAAATAGCATCTCTTAAATTAAAATTGAAAACAAATTTTTGAAAATAAGAAACAAATGGAAATTTACAATTGTTCTAGAATTACATAAAAGGCGCAGCAAGCGATGTTACATTGTATGAAATTCAAAAAGTTATAAATCTACAAAGAAAATTGATTGAGAAAAATATGAGCGGTTATAGATATCTTAATGGGGAAAATGAGTAAGTTAAAATTGTTTTTTTTTTTTGTAAAAAATATTTCTTTTTTCTAAATTAAAAATCAAATAGTTGTACAACAATTGTTTCTACTACACTAATTGTTAAAGAATTGATTCTAGTAATCTCGACAATTTTGTAATGGAACGAGGAGGTAAGCCATTGAGAAGTATTATTTTAACAAGTTGGCGCAGCGGAAGTACTTTTCTTGGTGAAGTTATCAATGCTCATCCTGCCACTTATTATCATTACGAGCCATTATTGGACTTTGGAATTATTCAAATAAGAGAAGAGCCATTCGCTGATATGGCTCTTAAAAATATCGAATCATTGCTCAAGTGCAATTACTCAAACATGGGTCGGTGGCAAATTAATTAGTAATATTTATAAAAAAAGAAATAAATAAAATATAATAGAAAAATTAATTTACAGTAACAAAATTTTAATTTTTAAAGAATTTTAATTTAATAATTTTTTAATAATAAAAGTAATAATATTTTCAGAACATTATTTGAATTTTGGAAAAACTCATGTTTGGCTTTTTAACCACAATGCCCCCCTTTGGGAACAATGCCTAATGCACAAATCAATTTGCTGGGATCCAAGATTTCTTTCTCCCTTTTGTCAATTATTTCCATTTCAATCAATGAAGATTGTACGTTTAAGATTACGGCTTATAGAAAAAATTTTAGCACAAGACAGGTTATTGATATTTTCATTAATTAAAATATTTTTCTGCTCTAAATTTTCAAATGAAAAATTTTTTTAAATATTTTTAGCTTGGGAGCAAAAGTAGTATTTTTGGTTCGTGATCCACGAGGCAGCTTACAATCGAGAAAACATAGAGACTGGTGTCCAGGTGAACCCGATTGTTCCGATCCTAGTCTTTTATGCTCCGATTTGGTATCTGATTTTAAAGCAGCTGTTAAATTTTCGAAAAAGTATCCTCGCAATTTTCGGTGAGTTTTTTTCATATTTTTAATTTATGTTTATTACCTATATTTTTTGTATTCGAAAAATTTGCTACAGAATTATTTTTTTTGTCGAAAGCACGATACACGATTAATTCTAAAATAAAAGTAAAAATCGAAGAAGTAAATCCAATAAAAAGAATGGAAACTAATTGACGCATCATCATAATAGATTCCGGTTGTCTAGAAGTACAAGATTTGCCAATTTGATTAGAAGAAACTTTATCCGTTGAATATGATTTAATTAATTTTTCCCTTATTCCAGACTCAATAATTTTTTGAATCACTTGATCGATTCGTTTAGCGTAAGGAACACCAGAACCAAGTAGAGTAGCACCTGAATTGAATGGAAATTTATCATAAATAAATTTCACAAGTTGATGTCCACATTTATCTCTTCTATTTCGAAGCATTAATTCCGCTCTTGGAACTTCGAGAATGCAAGTTAAATTTTTATATTTCAATAAACGTTCCACGCATTCGTCTTGTGAGAATATCATTAAATCGGATTTTTTCAAAATTTTTTGCAAAACAACATCATCCGTATTGTTTATTTGAAAAAAATAATTCTTTTTAATCATAATTTGTACATTCGAAGCAAGAACATCGTCTAAAGTTTCATATTTAAAGGATGATTCAATTTTCATCTGAACTTGTGTTATTGATGTGAAAATATCCGAAGAGAACATGAAACATGCAATGAGAAATGTACCGAAAATTATTCTCTCCACTATTTTTTTCGGTTCTTCTGGAATTACATTTCCCAATGTTATTTGAAACATATAGTGAATTTTCCATTTTTTTCGATTAAAGAAAAAAAATCGTGAAATAATCCAAAAACAGACGGGTAAAATCATCACTGTGAAGATGCTTTTTATTTGCCATTGAAATTGTGCTGAGTCAATATCTTTTTTCACAAGGGGCACAACCATTCCAATTTGATATGAATGCAAACTTTTACTAAGCTCAATGGGATTTTCACTGCAAAGTAATGAAGATACTTCTAAACCCATAATTTGAAATCCATTTGTGTACATTGCATAATTAACATCACTACTTCCTTCCTTTGTACATGTCAATTTTCCCCAACTAGAAGTTGGCAATTTCTTTACCGTGAAATTCATAATTTGTTGCAAAATTTTTATTTTTGTGATACCTAAACCATAAATTTCTTCTAATGGATTATTTGGTTCAAAAACATCTGGAGGAGCGTGAAGTAAACTTGCTATTAATTGATAGCCATACATATTTTTCAATTTATTTGGAAACCAAATTGTTTTTTGAGAAGCAATTTCTTTTGTAATCAATTTTAAAAAAGGATTATACTGAAAAACCTTCGGATAATAATTCTGGTTATTATAATTTTTATAATTAACTAATTTGCTTTTATTAATTTGTTCATCGACTTCGATTAGAGTAACATCAAGGAATTGTTCACTCCAGAGAATTTCGAAAAATTTCCGATAATTGTCAAATTTGTGTATGAAGAGAAACAAACATTTTGGTCGACGTCTTGCTTCTGATAATTTGGAGATAAAATCGATTGCTCGTGAAAAATTGCGATCATTTTTCGAATTTGTCAGAATAAATAACGAAATCCGAGGATTGTAGGTAATTAAATCGAATTTTGTTGGTTTTTCATTGTTTGGGGTGAAAATTTCTCGAAGCGAAATATCTTTCGATAATTTCTTAATTAGATTGGCAAAAATTTGATTTGATGTCACATTCTTTTCGTTGATGAGAAATATTACCTGATGAATTTCTCGATTTTCCTGAATACTTTTAGATAAGCCCTCCATCCATTTTGAATCTTCAGCTTTTATTTTTTGATTATTGAAAATTAATAATCCAATACTGATAATTAATTTTATCATTTTTATTCCTCTGGAAAATTGAGTAAAAATTACAAAATTAAAAACAGAATTTAATTGTTCTTGAAAATTTTATTAGTAAGTTTTAGTATCAAACTAGTTTTTCTCTGACAAATTGGAAGGAACTGAACTTATAGAAAATATTATTAAAAAAGTTTCGAATTTACTACGTATTTTTTTTTTTTTGCAATTAGAGATAGAATTTTTTTTAAATAAATATTAACTATTTACTCATTTTTTTTCTTCATTGTAATTGAATGTTTATTTTAAATTTTTTTCTTACTACTTTTTTATATTATTTTCTTTTATTTACTTTTTTAGTCAGTTTTACCTTCGATACAAAAAAAATTTTATGTTTGAAGGATAAATGAAACATTTTTAAAATGAAAAATACAATTTTATTAATTTTAAAAATTTTAAATAATTCATTTCTTATATTTAATAATTTTTGCTATTTAAAATTAATCATATTTTAATTTATTTTAATTAATTAATCACCTATATTTTTATTATTAATCCAAATTTAGTCAATTTTTTTCATTTTCAAATTTTTATTTGTTAAAGAAAACGATAAATAATTAATTCCAAAATCAATGTTACAGTTGAACAGGCAAATCCAGTGAAAAGAACAAAAACCATTTGATGTATCATCATAACATTTTTTGGTTTTGTAGATGAGCAAGATTTACCAACATGGTTGAAAGCATCTTTTTTTACTGTATATGGTTCCAACCATTTTAATCTAATACCAGAATGAATCATTCTTTGAATTACTTGATTGAAACGTTTAGCGTAAGGAGCACCCATACCAAGTAAAGTTACTCCTGTATCGGAAGGAAATTTATCTGTAAAAAATTTCACAAGCGGTTGTCCACATTTATCTCTTCTATTACGTAACATCATTTCTGCTCTTGGAACTTCAAGAATACAAGTTAAATTCTTGTATTTCAATAAAAGCTCCACGCATTCGTCTTGTGAGATAAGCATTGAATTTGATTTCTTCAAAATTTGTTGCATTACAACATCGTCAGTAGTATTTATTTGAATATAATAATTTTTATCAATCAAAATTTCCATATTCGAAGCGAGAACATCGTCCAAAATTTCATATTTAAATGATGTTTCAGTTTTCATCTGAACTTGTGTTATTGATGTGTAAATATCCGATGAGAACATAAAACAACCAATGAGAAATGCACCGAAAATTATTCTCTCCACTGATTTTTTTGGTTCATCTGGAATGACATTTCCCAATATTAATTGAAACATATAGTGAATTTTCCATTTTTTTCGATTAAAGCCTAAAAATTGGGAAATAATCCAAAAGAAAAATGGTAAAATAATCACTGTAATTATGCCCTTTTCTTGCCATTCAAATTTTGACGAATTAACATCTTCTCTTATCAGAGGTACAACCATTCCAATTTGAAGTGATTTTAAACTCTTACTATGTTCAATGGGATTTTTGCTACAAAATGCTGATGATACTTCTATGCCCATTATTTGAAATCCATAATTGTACATTGCATAATTAACACCAGTACTTCCAACATTCGAACATGTCAATGTACCCCAATTGGAAATTGGTAATTTTTCAATTGTAAAATTTATAATTTCTTGCAACATTTTTATTTTCGTGATACCTATACCATAAATTTCTTCTAATGGATTATTTGGTTCAAAAACATCCGGAGGAGCGTGAAGTAAAGTTGCTATTAATTGATAGCCATGCATATTTTTCAATTTATTTGGAAACCAAATTGTTTTTTGAGAAGCAATTTCTTTGGTAATCAATTTTAAAAAAGGATTGTACTGAAATAGCTTTGGATAATAATTCTGGTTATTATAATTTTTATAATTAACTAATTTGCTTTTATTAATTTGTTCATCGACTTCGATTAGAGTAACATCAGGGAATTGTTCACTCCAGAGAATTTCGAAAAATTTCCGATAATTGTCAAATTTGTGTATGAAGAGAAACAAACATTTTGGTCGACGTCTTGACTCTGATAATTCGGTGATAAAATCGATTGCTCGTGAAAAATTGCGATCATTTTCCGAATTTGTCAGAATAAATAACGAAATCCGAGGATTGTAGGTAATTAAATCGAATTTTGTTGGTTTTTCATTGTTTGGGGTGAAAATTTCTCGAAGCGAAATATCTTTCGATAATTTCTTAATTAGATTGGCAAAAATTTGATTTGTTGTCACATTTTTTTCGTTGATGAGAAATATTACCTGATGAATTTCTCGATTTTCCTGAATACTTTTAGATAAGCCCTCCATCCATTTTGAATCTTCAGCTTCTATTTTTTGATTATTGAAAATTAATAATCCAATACTGATAATTAATTTTATCATTTTTATTCCTCTAGAAAATTTAGTAAAAATTACAAAATTGAAAACGGAATTTAAATTTTCTTGAGAACTGTTAGTAAATTTTGTATTAAACTAGTTTTTCTTTGACAAATTGGAAGGAACTGAACTTATAGAAAATATTATTAAAAAAGTTTTTTTTTTTAAAGTAAATATTAACTGGTTATTTTTCTTCAAATGTTTACTTTTAAATATTTTTCCTACTACTTTAAATATTATTTCTATTTTTTTATTTTATATTATTTTTACCTACATATAATAAAATTGTAAAATACTTGAAACGAATTTTATAATATTTATAAACAGAATGTTTAAATTTTGTTTCCTATTGTAGAAGAATTTTAACAGTAATATTTTTTAAATGTTTAATTAATAATAATTATAATTTAATAATAATAATAAAATAAATTGTCTTCTTTAGTGTTGTACGATATGAGGACTTATCAGTCAATCCATACGAATATGTAAAGGATGTATATCAATTTTATGGTCTCGATTTTCATCCGAACATTATAAGATATTTGGATACTCACACAAAGACTGATTTTGGAGACATGTCAAGTACTTTTAGGAATTCTAAAGCAGCTCCATTTCATTGGCGAACGGATTTAACTTTTTTTGAAGTTAATGAAATACAGGAGGCATGTAAAGATGCAATGCAACTTTGGGGATATGTACGTGCTGAAAATTATACTCATCAACAGTATTTTAATCCAACAATTAATTACAGTTTGGAATATCCTGTCGGCGATTTCGACATTCCTTGACGATTAATGGTAAATCATTTTTTAAATATCTATATAAAATAAATTATTCTATTTTTTATTGATATTATTATTTTTCTCTTATTTCCATTATTTTATTAATTTTCTATTTATTTTTTTATTTATTTATATTTGTTTATTTAATTAATTTATTTAATTTAAATTAAAATTTAAATTATTTAATTTAAATTATTCTAATCAAGTGACTTAAATTATAATAAATTAATTATTTATTTTTATAAATTTATATTTATCATTTGTTTCAGCACTTTGTCGTTTTCTACTTTGAAATAAGAAAAGAAGTATCACATTTGAAAATGGAATGAATGTTTTAGCAAAAAATATATAATGAAATATTTCTCGTCTGTGCCTCTCTATGACATAAAAGTTTTTGTATGTTGATTTTATTTTCTCACTTTGAACTAAAGAAAAAAAAGCAACAAAAAAAAAAATGAACAAAGAAACGACATTTATATAGAATAATCGAAATTTTTGCAGAATATAGTCATTAATGTTTTTTTTTGAATTTTTAAGCTTTTAATATCATTAATATATTCGCGATACGTTTGTTTAATAATTGAGACTGTTTTTTATTTTTGGAATATAATATTCCAAAAATGTTTGCATCTGATTTTTATTTTATATATATATATATATATATATATATATATACAACATTTTCTCTCTCTCTATGCAAAGATCTGAATCTCACTTTATCTCACTGCTCAATTTATTTATTATATTAGTACCTTTGTTACTCTTTTTCATTAATAGATGTGTATAGATATATATATTTAAAGATTTTTATTATATTTCTTCGTATATTTTTCTTGTAAAGCAAATTTTTTGTAAATATTTATTGTTGTAGATTTTATGATATTATTCGTGAATCATGTGTTCAGAATATGTAATAATTGTACATTCGCAATAAATTATCAATAGTAATAATACAAAAAATTTAATTAATTTATAAAAGCCTAAAATTAATTTTTTCAATTCTCTATTATTGAAAATTTACAAAATTAAACAAATGTTTTCTATAATAAAATTAAAATTCAATTTTCAAAATTAAATTTTTTTTAAGTTCTTTAAAGTTTTATTTAAAAATTCTAATTCTACTTAAAGAATATTAACTATACTTTTATCAGCAATAAAAAGAAAAGAAAATTGAAATGATTTGTTATTAAATTAGACGGATTTAAATAAATTGAGTCCGCGCAAAAAAGATTTCTTTTCAACTATATTATATATATTTCGTATTTGAAATAAAAATAATCCAAGGATGATTTCCCGTTAACCAATCCAAGGATTTTTGCAACGTTATACAAATAACAAAAATATTTTTACTGTCAGTCCTACGACAAGGTAATGCACTGGACGTTCTGAGATATGCTTGTCTGCTTCAAACGTATTTTTTTTTTTTTTTTTTCTTTTAAACAAACAATTTTTTTTTTTATTTTTCTCGGCGAGCTTCTTTAATATACTTAGTTGATAAAATCTCCTACGAAAATTACAATACTAGAATTCGAAAAACTAGGAGGTTCTTCGTATTTTTTTTTTAATTTCATTCCCTCCGGTATTGAATTTTTTTTTTATATTTCAATTTCTGTATTTTTCTTATTATTATTATTTTTTAAAATTGGTGTTGGGACTAGAAATAAAAGAAGACTGTAACACCCTGCAAAACATGATATTTTCGAATTTTTTTTTTTTTTTTTTGTCGGGTAATATGAGACACTTGACAAAATAATGGATTTATTACGTATTCACGTTTAGGAGAACACAATTTCTCTTGAGTTTCACTCCGTACTTTTATAATCGCTTTTTTTTTTATAACATTCTCGCTCTTATTTATTTGTGAAGATTTTTTTTTTCTCGGCAAAAATTTGCTTTCACTCATTAATTATAATTGTTTCGTTGATATAATTATCTTAATTTTGGCAATTATTATTTCCTTACATTTTATATAAATATCCCACATAAGAAGAATGAACAAATAGACGATGAAATTTTTAAATTACAGAAATTACAATTAATACGGATTGCAAAATAGTACAAATTGTGATTATTACAATTATTTCGTTACAATTGTTATTTTTTTTTTTGCTTTTGCAGAAATTCGAAATATTCCAGCAGGTTTAATTGAGAAAACACTTTTGTTAATTTAAAAAAAAAAAATCCTCTTTTTTTGGGTAAATTAATCACCTTTCAAAATTATTTATTTTTTTCCTCTTTTTTTTTTTGTCAAATATTGAAGAAAAAAATATTATCAATTAAACCTAGAACTGGTTATTAGAAAATTAGATATTTTTTTTATATATTTACAGGAAAGTGAGAGAAAAAATTTTTTAAACTCACATAAAAAATTGTATAGAAGATTTTCATATTAACAAAATTACATTGAGCAACCTCAAAAATGTTTTCCCTTGGGAAATTATTGAAAAAAATAATGTGTCTGGCAATGTTAAAAAAAAAGAATATTAACATGACTTCTTATTTTCAAAAAGAGTTTTTCTTTACATAGAAAATGAAAATTTCGATTTAATTTTTTTTTCCTATTTTGAAAAAAAGAAGTTATGTTATCAAAAAAAAAGGGGGGGAAGAAGAAAGGAATAAACGGACTTTTGGCGAAGTCTTTAAAAAAAAAAAAAAATTGAAAAAAATCTCATATTACCCGCCTATTGTTTTTTTTTTATAACACCTCGCCCTAAGACTAACTATTTACACTTCTCAAAACCTGCGCGACATTCCGCACTGATTTATGGAATTGGCATCAAATTACCCTAAATCGATACGAGCCTTTAGATCTCTTAAAAAGCGACGGTGGTGATAGGTGTGTGAGTCGAAATTTTCGATAATTTATTTAGATTGATTTGTTTTTTTTATCTTCTCTAAATATAGGCTAAAAAGATTTTTTTTCTTTTTAAGAATTTTCGCTGCGGTGCAAAAAACTTCTGGGGGAAAAAAAAAAATGGGGGGAAGGTCTGTCAGGAAGTAAAATGACAAACTGTACGATTGATGAAATTTTTTTTAAAATTATGACTAAATTTTCTCGATTATCTCAAAATATTTCTTTCTTTTTTAAGAAAATTATTTTTTTTGTATTAAATTAAAAGAAAAAAATTTATTAATACTTTTAAAAATAATTTTTTTTTAGTCAAATAAAAATGGAAAAAAATTAGAATATTTTGTCCTAAATGGTTTTTTTAAAAATAAGATGAAATAAAATGTGATATTTTTCATTTTTTTTTTTTTTTTTTTTTTGGCAACAACCCCATACGTAAATATAACAGTAACGTGCGTATACAGTATAGAATAATACAGTCGATTAATTTTTTTATATGACTAGAATAGGTTTTTCTCCGGCACGTGTGACGGGTTGGAAGGATCGTTTGCGTACAGTTTTATGTTTCAGTTTCGAACTTTCGTCTCTGACAATAAAAAGAATTTCTGATTTTCGAACCGAGTTCTGGCAGATTGTTTTTTTTTTGTACAGCTTTTCCCTAATTCACCACACACTTCGCTTGGATTTTATTTTTTTCGATATATATATTTTTTTTCTTTTTCTGCTTAACGTGCATTATATTTTCTTTTTATTTATCTTTCAATAATAAAAGATTTCATATTATCCATCTGAATTACATATTCATTCCCATTTTTACCGATAAATATTCATTCTTTTTTTTTTTTTTTTTGGTTCAAAGGGAAAACCATTAAGGCGGACAAAATGGAAATTTATATTTATTTTAGGAATTTGTGATGTAAAGTGGAAATATTTTTCAAATACTTGAAACATTTCATATGTTTTTTAATTTACACAAATTTTATTTTTTTTTACTTATAATTTATTTAATTTTTAATTTCGATTTTTATATACGTAAAAATAATATTTTTTGTATTAAATTTTTTTTTTGATGATTTTTACTTTAATTGAATAAAAATTATTTTTATTTTATTTAACTTTATTTATACATATTTACAATGTAATTTATGGCAATAAATTTATTTTAACAAATATTTCACGAAGTAATTATATAATTTTTTAAAATAATTCTATAGTTTTTGAATTTTCGAGTTTGAAACTAAAATTAACAATTTTTTATAACACAGCCATTAAAAAATTTAACAATTAACAAATATATTTATATTTATAAAATATTTCAAATATTCTCGACACTTCCAAAAATTTCCAGAATTGGAAATTTTTTTACATCACTATAACAATTATATTCTAAAATAGAATTAGAATACTATACTTTGCACATTATTTACAAAAGTATTATTATTTTTTTTTTTTTTCTAAAAATGTATGTACATTTATTATATTTGAAATCTGGCGAATCGAGAATAAAGCAATAATTATCAATAAGAATAATTATTAATTATAATTATAATAATAATAAAAATAATATTAATTAATAATAAAGATGAGAAAAAAGTTTTTTTTTACAATTAACAATATTTTGATAAATTATTTAACAACTCTTAACTACTTTACAATAAAATTGTCATCGACAGTTCATTTTTTTTTTTCTAATTAATATTCGTAACGACATAATTTTTAATAATTATCGTAACTTCATACAGAGTATTGACTTTGAACACAGACTTCATATTATATATTTTTTTTTCTTTTTTTTATTTAAAAAAAATAAATGATGGGAATTTTCAATTTTGTCACGCCTTAATGTTCAGCAGTTTTAATTTATAAATTAGCGATAATAGCGATTGGCTCTGAGAACAATGAAGTTAAGAATTATTTTTCCTATAATGATTTCATTTTTATTTATTTATTTATTTTTTTTTTTGTTTTCATTAATTAATGGCGCTTTTTAATCGTACAATTGATTATTTGGTCAAGAATATTTGGAAGTTTACACGTTTACACAGTAAAAATCAACGTCACTTAACATTCTCTTTGTACTTGTTAATGTGTTATAACGCCGATTACCACTGTAAATTCGTCAACGAATTTATTTTTATTTTTTTGTAATTCGATAATAAAAAATACGAATAATAGCATAATGATCAAGTAACGATCCTACCCTAAATTCTTCGATACGAGAAGAAACCTTTCTTTGATTATGATTAATTCTCTATCTACAGAATAATGATCTTTTAGCTATCTACAAGAAAAATTATTTTTAAAGAGACTCTCTAGTGTACATTAATGACGAAGAGAAATTTTTTTTTAAAGGATGCTTTTTTTTCATTAATTTAGCAATGATCCATAATATTGACACTCTTTGACATTCGAAAAATTACATTTTAATTTTTGTTAAATTTTACATAATTCAATTTTTTTGTTAAATTCGATTTTATTTTAATTATTAACGAATTAATAAAATAATAATAATACAATAATTAATAATTGTATTAATAATAATGTAATTATAATTAATAATTTAATTATTTTAATTAATTTTTAATTTAATTATTTTTCCAAAATTAATAAAATTATCGAATCAAGTATGTGCCATTATATGGATCGACTATACACGCGAGATAATTTTTTCTTTTAAAGCATTTTTATGAAAATGGTACTCTTCTCGATAGATAGTAAATGCAAAAAAAAAAAATAATAAAAAAAAAATTTTTCCTTTTTTTCTCATTACGAATGCGCGATAGTTGAGCTTATCAGGTTTTTTTTTTTTATATTTATTTGGGCGAATTTTCAAAATAAAAAATTTATTTGATTTTTTTCAATTGCGTCCTGGCATTTCTCAGACTTGAAATCATCATCAATCATTGCATTTTGTTACTTATGATGAGAAGAAAAAAAAATGAGAGTGATTTTTTTTAATATAAAATTTAGCGAAAAATTCGAATTTGATGAATTCAAAAAAGGGCAACTGACAAAAAAAATTCAGAGAAAAAAATAACAAATTAAAAAAATAAGTAGAGAAAGAAAAAGAATAAGAATAAGAGAAATTTAAGAGGAAAAATGAAAATGATAAGCAACGCGTTTTAGAATTAGCAATGTTTTTTTTTTTCCTCTATGCAGAATTCGAAAAACAATGGACGGAATTGTGGAATACGAATTCGAGTTCAATTCAAAATCTGTATAGATTGATTAAAATTGCTCTGATTGTGAAAGGACGTTCTGAAAAATTGAAATATCTCCAGTTTTTTTTTTTATTTTTGGCAAGTTTTAGCTGCTTAAATTGTAATGAGCAAATTATTACAGGTGCAAGCAGTTTTTCATTTTTTTTTTTTAATTTTCTTCAGTATAAAAAAAAAATAATAATCGTGTAACACTTCTGGAAAACGCCATGATATTTTTTTTTATAGTATATAGATAGAGATATGTATGTATGTGAGAAAGAGATAGGGTCATAATGCACACAATTTTTCAGAAAAAAAAAAAATCTCTTTTTTATCCAAGATACAAAAAAATACGATTATTCTTTAACAATTAGGAGGGGGAAAAAATAGAAAAATTCGCATTATTTTGTCTCTTGAAAAGAAAGAGAGGTTGGAAAAAAAATTCTTCTTTTTTTTGGAAAATTGTGACCCTACCGAGAAAAGTGGTATGAGTTTGATAATTAAAAACGATTTCAATATGAAAAATTTATTTTTCAATGAAGGAAAATTTTTTGTAAAATATTTTTTTGTATTTTAAATAAGTAAAATAAAATTTTTAAAACTTATTTACAAAAAAGAAAAATAAAACAGTTTTTTAAATAAAATTTAAATTGAAAAGAAAGAAAATGGGACATATTTTTTTTTGTGAAAAATAATTCATTCAGTTTGAAATCGTTCCTCGTTGAAAATTCGATCGCGATGATATCCACCGTTTCTTTCGCTAGTTCTGTGATTTTTTTTTTTTTTCTATTCGTATCGCCAAGTATTCGACTATTAGAATAACAGAGACTGTCTAAAGTCATGTTTATAGAGTAAAAAGGAGAGATTCGATCGATATAAGATTTGAGATTCAAGCATTAGGCATTTGGAGTAAAGAAAAAATAATAATAAAGACGGATTTTAGAATGAGAAAAAATGAAAATTTCGCAGATCAGCCCTACACGGAGAAAAATATTTGGAATTCTAAAAATCTATCAAATATTCTTTTTTTTTGTCGTACGGGAAACGTTGCTACAATTTTTTTTTTTCACTATATAAAAGCCAGCACTTGTAAATTTTGCGTTTATTATCGCCAAAGTCCTACTATGATCGACTTGTTAGATTTTTTTTTCTTTATAATAAGAAACAAGAGCTACTTTCTCAATGTTTTCTGTTTTTTTTTTTTTCGTATCTTTGCAGTCGGTACTATAATAAGTTTCATTTTAGCATTCCGCTAAGACGGAAAAATCTTTTTTTTTCTTCGTGTAGGCGTGGTACAATTTTTCTTGTTGTTTTTATTATTTTTTTTCTTTTTTTTTTTTTGTTTGTTTGTTAAAGTTTACTTTGAGCTAGAACGTCGAGTAACTCGGAGAATACTGTAAGTTGTGACATTTACATTTTACAATTCGTATTAAAAACTACGTTACTTTTTTTTAAATAGCGTAGTTACATAACTCATACAACCATTATTATTTTTATTTTTTTTTGTATATATAAAAGCAGAGTTGCGATCGATACGGTCCTAAAAATCGATTATTAGGCTTTAAGCTCTTCTCAACCATTTATATATTTATATAATAATTCATAATACATTCGCGCAATAATGTTTCAATTTGCACTCTCAGGGCACATCGCAGAATTCATTTACACCGCGCGTTTTCATTTCTATAGTTTTTTTTTTTTTTTTTTGGTTTTTTTTTCTTTAATATAAAAATTTTTTTTACACACTTGGCGTCAATAAAATCTCACGGTTCTCCTCAACAAGAAACGCTTGCAGGCCGAAGTGCCCACTGTCCAGTCATTTGCGGAGAATATGTCTCAAAGATTCTCTAAGGAGTCTGTAAAGTGAATAATTTTTTTTTGTTTTCATTTCATTTTGGAAATGAAAGGGAAATTCGTTTTGTCGTAAAATGAAATTTTTGTTTCCATTTGAAATGGAAATAAATTCATTTCATTTTGACATATTTTTTTTTTTTTTTTGAAATTAAATTCGTTTCTATTTCACTGATAAAATGAATTTGTTTTATTTTATTATAATTATATTTAAAATAAAATGTATTATTTTGAAAAATTCATTTTTTTAAATTTAATTATGATAATTAACTATTTTTTATTTGTTAAAGAAAGGAAATTTAAAAAAAATCAAACAAATACATTTCATTGAGATGGAAACAAATTCACTTCATTAATGTTCAATTTTCTGGAATAGAGAAAATGCATTATGACCTTATAGATTATACTCCGCGGCAACTGGCATAAAAAATTGTATAAAATTGTCCATTAGGAAGCACAAGACACATTGTAAAGCAGGTCTTAGTCACACAATATGTTACTTATTTTTTAAAATATTAAAATTGTCTTCTGAGCTGCGAAGACTTTCGTTTTGTTTCTTTGTGTGATTTGCACGAGGCACACAATGTATATATGTTTTTTTTTTAAACCAAATTTTCCACTATTTTTCTCGAGAATTTTTGAATGAAATTCGCATTTCTTTTATGAAATTTTGAATTAAAATTTATTTTTAAATCTCGTGGGAGAAAAATAGTTGAGAATTTGGAAAATAGGATGTGCAAAATGATTTTTTTTTTTTTTTTGACGAAGCATTCAGGGCGAGTGCATTTTTTCTCGGTTATTTGTTTTTTTTTTTCTCTCTCTTTTGTTCATTTATAATGATGCTTGATTTGATTAATTAAAAAATGATTGCGATATAAAATTTATCAAGTAGCAAATTACAAATTAGTTAGGCGAATTGCTGTTTAGGCAAAATTTCACCTGCAGCACACAGATTTCATTCAAATTAGGCGCAACTTTTTTTTTTTTTATCTATAGTCACATCGGGTCATTTTTTGACAAAAAAAAAACATTTGGAAAAACAAAATAATTTTTGAGAAAAAGGAGAAAATTCTTTTTTAAAAATAATTTTTAGCAAAGAAAAAAAAATATATTTTCTAAAAATAAATTAGTTTCTTAATTTTTACCGTTTTTTCTCTTAATTCTTATTACTTTTCTTTTACAAAATTCCAAAATATAAAAAATAATAATCGAAATAAAAATTTAAAAAATCAGATAAAAAATTCGTTAATCAATAAAAAAAAATTCTTTTTTTTCTCGAAAAAATGACTCGTAAGACGCTTTTAACGCTATTTCACTTTACAAAGTCCTTATTTAACTGGTAGACATTTTTTTCCCTAATGCAAAAAAAAAAAAAAAAATTCGCGTCTGCGTTTCTTGGTACTTTTTTTTTGTAAATTAATTTTTATTCACGGGATGAAAAATTCGAATGTTCAAAACTGAAACGTTTACCAGGCGTAAAAGGGAGATGGTACCGTGGAATTCTGGATCAGAAAGAAAGAAAAAAAAAATTTTTTTTTATAGTTCATAAAACGAGAAATAAAAAGTGTGACAAAGAAAATTTTTGTCACGCATTAACATTGTTTTTTTTTTTTTTTTTGGGTTTTTTTTTTTTTATTTTGTTCTCTTCGAAACAGACTAACATATTCGTAAACTATCATTCGCGATATTTAAAATTTTTTTTTCTAGCATAGCGTCTACTTCGGATGGAATTTGCGTTAATACCGTCTTAACTTTTAATAAAAAACAGATCCATATTATTCCGAACACACATCGATTTTGGGAGCGAAAAAAGGAAATAATTTTTTTTTTCTTTTCTTGAAATTGTCACTTGTGATGTTTTAAACGATCATCTCGAGAGACAATTTTTTTTTTTTGTATTTAATTTGGCTCCTTGGTTTTATACACGAGATAACGCTACACTTTTTCAAATAACAGCGTTCTTTATTATTAATATTATTTATTTATTTATTTATTTATTTTTTTTTTTGTAAAATACGGAGTTTCGCGTAAGTAAAAAATGTGACTTAAAGATAAAGCTTAAGACTTCAGTGGTTAACCGAATATATTTAATCAGGAATGTTTTGTGTACCTCTCAAAAGACACCGAATTTTTCCGATCAGAAGACGTCCTTTTTTTAATTTTCAATTTGCATTTCTTTCTTTTGACTAAATTTTTTTATTTTTTTTTCATTACTGCATAAATTAGTTTTATAGTTTTTTAAACTGGAATAAATTTTTTTTTCAAAATTTTGAATTTACTATTAGAATTTAATTTTTGAACTATTTATTTCGTTTTTTGTTTCATATTTGAAATAATGAGAATTGCCTTGCGATTTTGAAATTTTAAAAAATTGACAAAATTTAATTTTGAAATTTTGTTTTTCACTGGTGAGAAGATTAATTTTCATTATCAAAAATAATGTAGCTAATTAGCTTTTCTAAAATCGAGGTTTATTATACGAAATTTATTTTGGCACACTTGTACTAAAAAGCACAAATTTCGACAATTTTTTTTTTCTTTTGTTTTTTAATTTCAGCAAAAATAATAAATAAAAATTCTGTATCGATTTTAACAAGAAAATAAAAAAACAATAGAAAAAATATATAATAATAAAGATAATTTATAAATAATAAATGTATGTAAAAAAAAATAAATATTTTGTCAAGTATTTGTTATTAAATTGTCAATTTTCTAAAAAAAAAAATATGAAATTATCTCTTAATTATATTTAAAAGCAAATTTATAGCAATTTTGTAAAAAAAATTTCAATAAGATAAAAGTATGTATTTTGATTAATTATAAGTAATAAAAGAAAGAGATGCGAGAAATATTTTCTGAAGACGAAACAAAAAAATAAAAAAATATTCAAGGAAGTCTTTTTCCTTTTTTTTTCGGAATAATTCGGTTGAACGATTTACGTTCGACGTCGCACCATTTCACTGCATTCTCTCTTTCTCTCTCTCTTTCTATATATATATTACAAACATCGGTGTACAATCGCATTGTCAGCAAGTGGACTAACGATGACCTGCATACGCGCGTCGATTGACGAATGGAGATTGTGAACATCGATGAAAAAAAAAAGAAAATATTTAGTTCGGAGCATCTGTTTTTTTTTCATTTTTTAATATATATAATATATAATATATGTATATATATATTTAGATTTTACCGTTTCTCCGTTCATATATATATTATATATATATTTATTTATATCATATATTTATAATATTCTCAACGTTTTTCACTGCGGTCATTTTTTTTTTTATTACTTTGTCTTTGTTTACCTTTTTTTTTATTTATATATACATATTATGGAAATCAGACTATCACGTGCAAATGCAGAACTATCTGCGGTGTATGGTGGAAGCGTGACAGATATTCCACGATTTCATCCTAATAGTCGCGCAATGGTTTTTTTTTTTGGAGCATCGCGTACACTTGATAAAAAAAGAAATCAATGTCTATAAAGAGAAAAAGATTAAAAAATTCTCTATATAGACGTTGATATTTTTTTTTTAAAAAGTATAATTACTATTAAGACGCAGACAATGCATCTATCACATATAAATGACTTTGTTTAAAAAATTTTCACTGCCGTAAAACGCGTATTCTATAGTCTTTTTGGTTTTTCTTTTTCGTTAACTCGCTCATAAAGACGTATAATATCGCTTTTTTTTTTTTTGTTTCTTAAATCTAATAATTAATTAATATTTTTTTTCTTTCTTTTTTAATAATAATAATAATAATAATAATAAGTATTATCTGGTATGGCTCCGATACCTGCTCACTGATAATTAAATCCTCTTCTATCTCCCTCTAGATGATTTTTTTCTTCTTCTTAGGGAATTTGTGAAGGAGTGAGCGGCGTTTACGGAGAGATTCGTTTTTTTTTTTTTTGTTTTTTGAACACTGGAGTCGGTGGTGTGGGGCGCAAAGTGATTTCATGTCTTGTAAAATCCCTTCAAGGGAGGGGGGTGCGCGCGCCTAACAAGCGTATCTATCATTAGGACTATTATGCGAATGCATTTTCCCTTCTGTTCCGGTAGTATAGAACCAATTTTTTTTCTTCTTCTTCTTTTGTAGCATAAAAATGGACAGTCACTCATCTGTCCGTTCTTTTTTTTTTCTCTTTTTAACTCGAGTAGAAAGCCCTATACCAGGAACCGCACGGAATGGATTCTCTTCAATAATTCTTCTAGTACCAGCCACCACGTTTCCACCGTCTCCTTCGCTGAAAATAAGAAACAAAATTATTTCGTCTTTAGTTTCTTTTTTCTCTCTATTTTTTTTTCCAAAACAAATATAATTGAAAAGAGAGGGAAATTATATTTAGAAAATTTTGAATTTTTAGTCAAATTAAAAAATTTTCAATCAATATTTTATTGATGATAAATTTTCAATTATTTACAATATAAGAAAATTTTTTGAAAGGAAAAGAAAATTCTTTGAAGTCTTCTTTTATATCGAAAATTCAATTTTTTCATCGACCTAGAAAGCTATTTCGACTCAATTCATTTTTTTTTTTCTCCTTTTATCCATAACTTCAATTTAACAATACTTCATATAGCTCAAGAGTTCTTTTTTCTACTTTTCTTTAATTAAAAAATTTTTTTTCCCCTTTTCAAAAAAAAGTTTACGATTTTCAAATGTTCTGTTTTTTTTTCATGAACAAAATTCAGTGGCAAATATTTTTTTTTTTTTGTTCACGTAAAGTTAAAATAAAATAAAATTGAAAATAAATCTCGAAAAAATGCAATGAAATTGAAGGATAAATCGTCTTTTTCAAAATTATACAATAGAAAATTCGAAGAATCATTGAAGCAAAGTGAAAATTCACAATTTTCTGGCAACGACCCACATCTAAACTATAATATATAATTCAAAATCTTTCTAAGAATATTTTCTTCAGAAATAACGCGCTCAGACAGTGAGGAAAAGCCTACGACTTTAATATTTAACCGGGTCAAGTTTTGGTTAAACTTCTGCCCGAAGGCAGAAGTGGCCCAGTTACTAACATTCAAGTTGTCGAGTCCGAGGAAATCTGACGAAATAACAAAAGTTTCTTTTCAGGATAATCCTTGAGAAAATAAATTAGTTTTTTTTTTCATTCCATATTGTAAATGATTTTTTTCCCCTTCGATACAGAAAAATTCATGTACGTACGAGAAAAAAAAAACTTATGGCAATTAATCTAAATAATTTAATTTCAAAACCACTCTATTTTTAAATTTTTTTTCAAAAAATAAATTTAAAATAATTTTTTTTTTTTTATTCTCGAAATAATTTTTGATTTTCATTATTATAAATTTTGTCGGAGATTGCTACGGAGATTAAGTTCTTAGATTACGTTTCTTTTTTTTATCCTTTTTTTATGATTGTCAAATTAAAGGGGGGGTTTGAAAATGGATACCTAGTAGTCAGACGTCAGTCTCAACGATCATGCAGGCTACGTTGATGTTATTGTTATGGAGAGGATTGTAGATGGGTTTTTTCGTAACCTCCGCATGGGGAGTTATTGTAAGACCCTCCTCCAGCTCTATTATGTCCGATGACGACTCCGACATCGAGCTTTTCTTCATGTGCTGACCTGTAAAAAAATCCAATTATTAGATTTTTTCATTTTACTGCGGATAATAATAATAATAATAATAATAATAATAATAATAATAATAATATTAAGTAGATTAACATCAATATCTTCAGAGTTCCTTTTTTTTAAATTATTGTAAAAATTCATTTTCCTGAATTGTGAGAAATTTTTTATATTTCTTTTTATCCAGAAAAGAAATTCTGTAAATTTTCCCTATATTTAAAATAAAATTTGTTTCTGTTTAACAAAATTCAGTGTTATATTCTAAAAATTATCTCTTGTCGAAAAAATAGTTTCTTCGATTTTATTTATTTGTAAAAATTACCTTTATAATTCTTCTATTTAATTGAAAGAAAAATTCTCGAATGATACAATATTTTCTGATTTTTGAAAAAAAAAAATTCTCTCAACCTTTTTTCTTCTTTTTTTTCATTTTCCATTGAATATGAAAATTTCTGAAAAGTTTTATATCCTTCATCCAAAATTGTAGAAAAAAAAAAAATTTCTTTCTTCAATAAAAAAATTCTTCAATTTTCTTCTCAAAAACTTAAAAAATCTTTTCTCTTTCAAAAACAAAAAAAAAATTTCTTCAAATTTTCGATACAATTTCGCTTTTTAAATCCCTAAAAATTTCTCCTTCCATTTTCATGGATTGTTTCCAATCTAAAAAAAAAGAAAACTCCAACAAAATTGTAAATAAATAAATGAAAAAAATATTATTTTATGAAAATAAAAAAAGGTAAAATATAAAGAGAAATTTTTTTTAGAAATACCTAGTGTGCCAGGAAGATAAGGACAGCTAGTCACGTGATTGAAATTTTGCGACTGCATTTCCTCCTGATCAGTCTCACGATGATAAAAGTAGTTGAAATTGGAAACGATGACAGGAACGGGTAGAGCAATCGTCAATACACCAGCAATCGCGCATAATGAACCAACAATTTTCCCCCACACACCAACGGGCCTGAAAAAAAGAGAAAAAAATTTGTTATTTTTTTTTTTCAAACCCAAAATACAATTTTATTTTATATATTTGGCGCAAAAAGAAAAAAAAAAAAAACAAAAGTGATAAGAAATTTCGTGCGAGGTGTGGTGTCTATTTTTGTGTATATATATACCGTGCCGGGTGTGGGCTCTACTTGCGGGAGGCTCGTCTGTGAAAATATTTTTTTTTTTTTTTCTTTTTTATTAATTTTATAGGCGACCGAAAAAATCACTTGCCTAATTCGAGAAAGAGCTCGACTATTCTAAATTAAGGCAAATAAAATACCAAAAAAAAATTTACTATTTACTCATATAAATTTTAACTATAATGCAATAGAAAAATGGACTTCGCTATAATGGGCACAATTGCGTGATAAGAGAAATGCTTGTGCTGGCCTGGTCATTTTAATTTGTTTGTTTATGATATTTGTTGTTTTTTTTTTTTTGTCTATTATTTCTTGTGAAAAAGGATCATTAAAACAAATTTTACGGCTCAATTAAAAAAACTAAATTCAATTTTTCCCCTCGCAATTCCAGTTTCCTGTGGATTTTTTGAAAATATTAAAAATTGACAATAATTATTTATTTTGTACTTTTATTCTCATTTTCAGATATTGCTTCCTCGTTCTTAAAAAAAGTATTTATATTTTAAAAATTTGTCAAATTTTTATTGATCCTCATTCATTTTGATAAAACTTAAAATTACAAAAAAAACGAGACCATCCATTTTTTTCGTGAAAAGCATATACAAATTGAATAATGAGTATTTTCAGTGAGTGAAAAGAAAAATCTTCAATCTCTGTTTTTTTTTTACATAAGGTTTATAAAATATAATTTGATATTTAATTTTCCAAATTTTATTATTAATTGAAATAAATAATATTGATTATTAAATAATATATAAAGATGAGTAAAAAAATTAAAATTAAATATTATTTTTTGAGTAGAAAAAATGTTTAAATTTAATTAGAGAAATCTCTGTTAGCGGTAAATAAATAATTATTTTTACTATTTTTGCAATAACGCAAATTTATCTAAATGAAAATAAAAATTAGTGAAACAATCAACAAACTAAAACAATCACTGCACAAACAAAATAAAGCAATCAACATAAAAGTAAAAGAACAATGAACACAAGTTTTTTTTTTTTTTTTCTTTGAGCCATAGGAAAACGAAAATAATAGAAAACAATTTTTTTGTTATTTAAGATGAAAAAACTTCCTTTTTGATAATTTTTTTGACAATAAATATAGAAATAAAGAAATTTATTTGATTTTATTATTAAAATATTTTTGTTTATTATTAATATTTAAAAATTAATTATTGTTTTTGATTAAAATTTTCATTAGAAAATTATAAGGAAAATTTTACTTAAATTCTGAATAAGAATTAAACGTCAAACCCCCCCCCCATTTATTTCTTGTGTTCAAATTTATCAAATTAAAAAGTTATCAAAGTTAAAAGTTTCCAAAGAAACATTGAAATTGCTATATAAGAGATACGAGAATGATTACGGAAACATTAAAATTTTTTTTCAAATTAGAAAAATTTCAATAACTCCTCTCGCAATGAGGAAAATTAATTAATCAACTAATTACTCCAGAGTGAAAAAAAATGTTAAAAATAATATTAATAAAAAATTTATTATTATTGTTATTAAAAAAAACAATTAATGATTAAAGTACTAATTATTTTTTTATTATTATTTCGTTTACTTTTTTATTACTTTTTATTATTTCTTTAACTTTTTTTTTATTATTTTTCCTATTCTTTTACTTTTTTTTATTACTTTTTTTTAGTTTTATAATTAATATTTGTAATTAACATTTTATTAGTCTATTATTATTATTTGTTATGTTATTTATTCGCAATTCTTCGAAAAGAGAAAAAAGTTTTTGTTTATTAAAAAAAAATTATGAAACTAATGAAAAAAAAAAAAAAAATTAAAAAAATTAGTGATTAAATTCCAAACGTGCATCCACGTGCATCAACACTGTGAAATCTAAATGTCGTGCATTTGACGAACGGTGTCATGATCGGTCAGGGCAAAGTGTGTCCGACACGATGTGGCATGCTAATCAATGCGCTACAAATTCTGTGGCCTGTACCTCGTGCTTGTCAGTCGACGTGCGTTATTGAATTTTATATATATATATTTTATAATGTATAAAATATATATATATATAATTGCAATAATAAAATGAGGATATTTATTCGATGATCGAAAAATGATGATGATGACAACAACAAGGCTATACAAATAATGTCGTGTGTATGTGTCATTGAAAAAAAAATATTTTCATAACAATATATATGTGAAAAAATATTTTATTCACTATTTCAAGCCTTTCGCGATGACTCTTAAATAAATCTTCATTTTGGCTAGACTTCAACTTCCGCTAGTTAAATTTGCAAACTTAATTTTATTGTGATCAACAACATTTTTGTTTATTATTATTTTGTCATAGTGAAAAATGTTTTTCCTTAATCAGACGAAAAAATTCGTTAACGAGAAGTTAATAATTTAATTATCTATTCTAATCACTAATTAGGAATTAATTATTTACTAGAATTTACTAAATTATTATTACTCTACTAATTACTAATTACTAACTAAAAATTAAATAAACTAATTTACTCTATTTATTTAATACAACGATAATATAATTTTTCACGACAAATATTATTTTTTTAAAAATTGATTTTGTAAATTTAATTTTCGTAGAAAAGGAACTTTTTTGTTTTTCAGTTTTTTTTCAGAAATAAATTTTTTTAGTAAAAGCCAGTATTGAAAATTTTTATAAAGCCTGGATAATGTGAGATACGAGAATTGCCAATCGTTTTAGATACGATAGAGAAGGAGAGAGAAGAAAAGGAAAAAAAAAAAAGGTAAATGGAACTTGATAGAATCCTATAAGATTTTATTCAGTCCCATTACTGTTTAGATTTTAGTAAATCCCTTTTGGGGATCTCGGTGGTGAATTTGGGAGATAAATTTTAAAATAAACTTTTGTTTTGATAAAAAAAAATTGTCAAAAATCAAATTTTTCAATTAGAAATTTTTCTTTTTTAGAAAGAAAAAATTAGTAAAATAAAACGAAAAAAAATTTAAATTCCAAAAAAAGCGAATATAATTATTTTTGTAATTTAAAAAAAAATAGTAATAATTTTTTTTCTAAATTGCTAAGAATTATAAAAAAAGGAAGAAAAAACAATTTTCCGAGACTAAAAATTCTCGCTGATGCAAAAAAAAAAAAAAACTGGATTATTTTAAGATTTTAATAATACCTTAGCACCGCAATTCGATTTCAACTTCTATACATAAATATCAATGCTTGGTGCTTGAAATGAAAACAATTTTAACAATTTCCGGCAGTTCTTAAAGGAATCTCTTGAAAAACGTACAATTTCGTGTAATCGTGTACTTGATTCACAACAGAGAATTTCCTTTTCAATTTAGTCTTAATAAAAAAAATTCTAAGATTGCATACCGAGAATGAAATTTCAAATACCCCTGTTTTATATATATATAGTCATAGAGTAGAATAATTCCCGAGTCATATTGAATAAATCATTTCAGTTGTTTTATTTGAATTTTTTTTTCATATGTCAATCGGTAAAAAAAATAATAAAAAAAAACAAAAAATATCTAAAAATTTTTCTCAAAATATTAGAAATGAAATTCCACTTTTTCTTTTTTAAGAAGAATTTAATAATTTTTTTTGATAATTTTTTCCAAAAAGGTTTTTTTAAATTGCAATTTTTAAATAAAAAACAAATTTAAAAATTAGTTAATTTATATTGAAATGTAAAAAGATTTGAATAGCTAACAATTGAACTAGAAAAAATTTGAAGTTAAATAATTTAAATAAATACAAAAAATACAAAAAGATTGAAATTTGAATCCAATTGAAATAAAAAAAAATGTTTAAAGTTCAAAAAAATCGAAATTAAAAAAACTAAATTCCAAAAAATTAAATAAAAACAGAAATTCAAAAAATTGAATTAAAAAAAAAATATTTTGAAATTGTTTTTTCCCCTATTGTTTATTTTTCACTTTTACGTTGTTCTCATTTTCAGTCTCGTTGTCTTGTTCCTCCTTTTTTTTCTCTCTCTTTCTCTTTTCTTCCTTTATTTTTGACTTTTATCCGGAATTTTCTTTAATAATAGATGCGAAATGAGAAAACCGGATTGAATTGCTGTCAGTTTCAATGTGTTTCGCGTTGCTATTCTGTCGGATATAGAAAAGCTTTTGCAGGTGGCAGAAACTTGGCTTCCGTTTTGTGAATAAACTACAGACAAGTTTTTCCAGTAAACACACGTTGATTGCAATTTCTTTGTGTTTTACGTGTATTTGCGTGTATGTGTATTGGTGATGTATAATATTTGGGGACATCAGTCAGTTTGAACTCGGCTAGTCGACACGAAAAGCAAATCACTTCTGCAAATAAGGTTCGTGTTCTCTTACTAACAGTGGAATAACACGCGCTTCAAAAAATCCGAATAAATACCCCGTTGAGTTTGAAGCTTTCCGCTTTAATCCAAAGATTAATAAACAAAGAGCCATCGTAAATACGATTTTAAAACAACTTCTTTAATTTTTCAAAAGAAAATTTTTTTCATTTCACAAAAGAAAAAATTTTATTTATTTTTTTTTTAAATTGATATAAAAAATCTAAAATTGTATTTTACAATTGAATTTTTTTTTCTATATTTTTTTTTTTTTAATAGAAAATTCTTGTTTTTTTTCTTTTTTCATGAAAAAAATATTGTTTATGTAGAGGAAAATTTTATTATTTATAATATCAAAGTGAGCTTTGATTTCAAAAAGCCGTGTATTATATAATGTTGAAGTAATTAACAGCACTTCTTTGATTTTCCAGTCAATATAGCGGAACAAAATCTTCGTTAACATTTAATGTGTTATATAATATTTCAATCGGTTCTTTGAACGCTCTCGGACTATTAAATTAATTAAACTACTTGGCCAATTTCCCATTTCTTCAAGCTTGATTGTTATCAGTCATTCTTTGCCAAATGATACGTATATATTGAGAGCTTCAATATTATTATTATTATTATTTCAATTTAATTACCTTATATTTATTTTTAAACATTGCGATATTTTTTCCATAAATTAACCGACATTTTCTAATTTTTCTTTTTTCCATTTCTATATAATATATTGGATTTAATTTCTTTTTTCTTATGTCTTTCTTTTTATGTCGATTTAATTAAATTAATTTAAATTAATCGAAAATTTGTTAAAAATTTATAATTAATTTTAAATTAATAATTTAAAATGTTTAAAATTATTTAAATATCAAATAATAATTATAAATACAAAAATCAAATTATTTATTTAAAAAAACTAGTTTTTAAATTAATATAGAAGAAATGGAATTTTATTTGTTAAAGTAAAAAAATTGCTATTTTTAAAGGGAGTATAAAATATGTTTTAATAGTCCAAGTGCGAAAAGTGGCAGTGAAATCTTATATAATGTGTGTAATCACGATTTGTCACGCAAAACACTTAATCACAAGTTAATGGAAATAGGAACTAGAAAAACCTATGAGAAAATTTCTCCGTCTTGACATTCACTAAAAAAAAAGAAAAAAAAATCATTTTCTCTCAAAATATTTGTTTTTTTTTCAAAACAAAAATTGTTTCGATAACAAATTTTTTTTATTATAATTATTCGTCATATTATTATTTATTTTAATATCATTTTTAAAATATTATACATATTATTTTTTCTATTATTTTTTAAAATTATTTGTTTAAATATTTTTATTATTATTATTAATATTTTTATTATTATTTTTATTAATATTCTTATTAATATTATTATTAATATTATTATTAATACTATTATTAGTGTAGAAATAAAAAATTTGTATATATATAAAAGAAAGAATTTTCAAGATTTTTTTAACCACTCACAAAAAACAACATTTTTGACTGAAAATGAGAACAGTTTTTATTGAAAATAAAAAACAAAAAAATTCGAATACTCGAAATGAGTAAAGAAAAAATATTCAATTAAAATAAAAATGGATAACGAAGCGACTGGAGATATTCGAATCTCAAGATGAGAATAAAAGGAAAATATTTTTTTGTAGTTTTGAAGGGCAACATTTTTTTTTTTTTTTTTTTTTTTGCCAATATCTAGAAAAACGTGGAATTTCATAATAGTTAACAGATCGCCAGTGCGACTTGGGTGTCAACGACCTTTTATCGATCAGTCACCTCATTAAATCCCACTCATTCGCTGATAATGATCACGATTGTCGGATAATGCCTTACAATTTGTAACACTATACAAAGAATTTGCACTGGGCTAATGCCTTAATAAATAGAAAAAAAAAACAAAACTAAAAATAAAAGAAAAGAAGGAAAACTTAAAAATTCTTCTTCAAAAAAAATATTGAAATAAATAAAAAGAAAATAAAAAATTGAAAGAAAAAATATTTTTGAAATCAGAATAAAATTTTAAGAAATAAAAAAAAATTGAATTTAAATTTAAGAGGGAGAGACCAGTTTGTATAACATATTAGTGTAAAACTTGTGACGTAAATGACGTTATATATGTATATATGAAAGCATCGTGCCAATTGAAATCTAAATCTACTTCAAGGCCAATATGAGATAGAATGAATGAGAAATGACAATAGCAGTGATTTTTTTTTATATAGTAAAATGATATAAGGTGACAAAGATACAATTTATTTTTTTAGAAAAAAAAAATTTTCTTTTTTTCCTTTTCTTTTTAAAATTAGAGGCGTGACTATAAAATAGAAATAAAAGAGCAAAAATTTAATATTTGGCTTTGAAAATTGAATTGAGATTAAATTGTGCGTTGAAGAATTTTTAAATTTAAAAATATATGTTTTCTACGAAAAATGTAAAATTGTTCTTTTTTTTCTATAAATAACAAAAATTAATTTAACTATTTGATTAAGAATTTTCTAAAATTAATAAATTTATTTTTTAATTCTAAATTTAAACTAATCAATTTTGAATTGCAACTACTTTATGAATATAGTTTAAACTATTTTATGAATGAATAAGTTTAAAGTACTTTAAATTTAACTATTTAATTATTAGACATTACATTATTGTAACAACATTTTAATTTTAATAATTAAAATATTTGTCCTCTTTTTCAAGGAAAACAATGTTTCTACTTTCCATAAAAAAACAAATATTTCTAAATTCGAAAAATTCTTACTCAAGCTCCAAATAATTGTAATTGTCAGTATATTTTGTATAAATGAAAAAAAAAATGTTCAAAAAGAAATTAAATTGTGAATTACCCCAAGAAAGAAAATATAATTTCGTTACTTCATCAAATTCAAATATTTATTTATTTATTTATTAACGGGAAGTATCCAAAACTATTTTTTTTGATTAAAAATGAAATAATTCTAATAATAAATTTATTACATTGAAATATTTTTTTAAGAAAGCTATTTTATCTCATAAAGTAATTTTCAAAAAAAATGTTTGATAATTTATTTGAAAAAAATAATAGAAAATTTGGTTTTATTTATCAAACAAAAACTTGATAAAATTTTAGTAGGAAAATTTTATTGATAAAAAATTTTCAAAATATTATTAATATTAAAAATTATTAATTAAATAATTAGAGAAAATAAAGTAAAATTGATTTGAATTTATCTTTAGAAATATTATTTTATGTTTAAATTGCTTTAAATTAATTTCTCTTTCTAAGAGTAAAACATTTTGTTTTTTAAGAAAAATTATTTCCTTTATTTCAGAAATATTTTTTTTTTTTGTAGTGAATTTTAAAAATTGAGTAATTCTCCAGAATTTAAATAAAATTAAAAAACAAATATTTAAAATTAAAAACAATTTTTTTAATTAAAAACAAAATAAATAAAATTCCACAGTAAATTTTATTCGCAAAAAGTTAAATTCACAAAAAATATAAACAAAATGTTGATCCATATTTTGTTTAATTATAAATAAATGAAAAAAGAAAAGATATTTAGAATTAAATTTCAAAAATTATGAACGAATATAAAGAAATTGAAAATAAAAACAAAAAGAATTCAAATTAAAAGAAAATTTTTCTTTCTGTAATTCAAATAAAAAAATTAATTTTTTATTTTAAAAACTAAAAAAATGGATAAATTCTGGAGAATCAATGATTTCTTTTTTTAATGTGTGTATGAGAAAAAAAAAATTCGTGATTATATGAGTGAGAAAAAAAAATGAATGTTTCGAGTATAAGTATTAACGTGAGGGCAAAATACAAGTAGTTGATGGAAATCAATCAATCAATCAACGAATTAGTAATTAAAAACCAGGTACAAACGACAGCACAAGAGGGACATACTGTGGCATTAACTAAAGTGTTAATGAAAGTGAGTACATCATACGTCATGTCACCATAGCCCACGGTCGTCATCGTGACAACGGCCCACCAGAACGCGTCCGGAATGGATTTGAAGAACGAATTCTCGGAGCCAGCCTCCGCGAAGTATACCGCTGATGAGAATAGCACCACACCTGCAATATAATGGAGAAAACCCGTTCAGAAATATCAATGTGAATTTTTAATAATACCTCATGTCCCCGTAGCCGACGGTTGTCATTGTGACCACCGCCCACCAAAATGCATTTGGAATCGATTTGAAGAAACTGTCTTGCGAGCCAGCCTCAGCAAAGTAGACAACCGAGCTGAATAGTATCACTCCTGAAACATGATCTTATCGCTACTAAAATCCTATTCATTTTATTCTCTCGTGCAGAAATTCTTTTTTTTTCAATAAAAAAAAAAAAAAAAAAATGTTCTTTTTGATTTAGTTCCTAATTTTTAAATTGAATTTTAATATAATTTTTAATTAACAAAAAGGTGAATAATTTTTATTTAATTCGATTTTCAAGTAGATTTTTATTTATTCGATCTTTGGGAAAATAATTATTTAATTTTTTTTTCCAACAAATATTTGATTGAAATTTTTTTCAATTAACAGTAATCACAATTTTATTGGATTATTTTCTGATTTGATAATTATTTAAATTTTCATCTCCGATTGGCGAAATGAAATTTGATTTTTGAAAATTCTCAACTAAAATTAAAAATTATTGAATATTGATTTCAAGTGTAATTCGAATAAATAAAAATTCAATAGAAACTAAATCAAAATTTCAAGAAAAAATTAAATTGTCTTTAAAAAATGAAAAATTACAATTTATTTCTGCACGAGAACTGAGAAATGAGAACATTTTCTTCCAAATATTTTTATAAATCTTACGTCTTTCCACAAGAAAAACTTATACCTGTATCAAAATATACAGGAAATTCATTATTAATAAAAAATATTATTCAACATTATAAATTATTATAACCATAAATAGAATAAGATAAAAATAATAATTAAATACTAAATTCCCTAAAAAAATTCCTTATTTCACGATATAATTTTAATGATAAAAATATTTAATTACAATAAAATTGTAAATTAATTAGAAAATTATATCGTGAAATTTTTTATACAAATTCGTATTTGAAAATTCGTATTTGAAAATTCGTAATTGAAAATTCGTATTTAAAAATTCGTATATAAAAAATTTGTATAGAAATTAAATAAATATAATTAAATTTTATACTTTAATTTCTATTTTTAAGCAAATTTTTTTTTTCTTTAGATTTCTTTTGAATAAAGAATTAAAAAAAGGGAGAAAATTATTGTCGATAAGATGATAGTTAAGTAAAGATAAAATATTGATTTTAACTGTGTACGTCGTGGGTATACTTTAATTTCAAGGGATTCAATTATTGATTGCAAAAGCAATTAGATAGTGATCACATGAAAATTTACCTCTTGAGGTACTGTCGTTTCCTAAGATTATCGTCTAACTATAGAATAAATTGCGCATGAAAAGCACTACTACGGGTATTAATGATCATCCTAATGCCACTATACTTTATGTATATATACACACATATATATATGTATATATAATATACAAGAGTCAATGTAAATGTTCAAGTGCATTAGGACTAGATTAAGTGCTTTATAATACCTACTTTCAAAAGTCACTGTAAATTTGTAAATTTATCCAAAAAAAAATTCTGTTATAATAACTATTTTTTTCAGTATTTAGTGATACACTAACTATATTTTTTTTAAATTCTACAAAATTTAAATTTTCATTGTCAAAATGCGAAAAATCTGCCAAGTTTTTTTTTTATTTAATCCTATAAAAAAAAGAGTGGAATAAATTTCTTCAAATTTTTTCTGTAGAAAATATATTTTGTAACACAATTTTTAGTAGAAATTTTAAGAGAAACTCACAAAAATCAAGAAATTGATTTCTAAATATAAAAAAATTTTATTCCAAACTTTGTGGTTTTTTTTCTGTTTTATAATAAGCAAACTATTTTATTCTATGTTTAAAAAAAAAATCTATTTTAAAAATTTACTAAACTAAAGTTTTTTTTTTTGAAAGTTGATCCATTATAGTTTTATTTGGAATTTTTAAAATTAATATTCCAAACTAGGGATTATAAAAACAATTTCGAAAAAAGAATTTTTATTTCCGTCTTATTTCTCTCGTTTAAAAAAAAAGAAGAGTTGGATCAACCTTCAAATCGTTAAAAGTAATCAAAACCCACTCTCTAAATTTGAATCAGTTAAAAATAAAAGAATTCTGCTGAATCTGTAAACTTTTCCAACGAGCAGTTTACTTTTTTGACCGAAAATAATTTTTACTATTAAAAAATTTAAAATATTAAATTGAAATTGGCAAAATTGAATATTATTTTTCAACTTATTCAAATAATATCGAGAATGGAAAAAAAAATGGAAACAAAAATAATTGGGAAAAATAAGGCGAGACTTACCGATAAAAAGGAAAAAAATGAGCAGACCGAGCTCTCGCATTGATGCCTTTAGAGTTCGGCCAAGAATTTGAAGACCTTTACTATGCCTGGACAGTTTGAATATTCGAAACACCCTGACCAGTCGTATCACCCTGAGAATCGCGAGGGACATCGCTTGATTCGTACTTTTGTCTTGTGGACTAACAGGTGCCTTCGGCAAATGTAATGTGTCCTCCTCCTCGGCGACAACAGTTGCCAATGTGATGAAATAAGGAATGATGGCGATGATATCAATGATGTTCATAACGTCACGGAAGAAGTTTAGCTTATTTGGACAGGCGAGGAAGCGCACCGATAACTCGAATGTGAACCAGATTATACAAATAGTTTCTATTAGGAAGAACGGGTCCGTAATGTCCGGCACTTCGTCCTCCTCGATTTTTGTACCGTTTGTCGTCGTATTGAACACTTTATAATGCTTAAATTCGGGAAGTGTTTCCAAACAAAATATTACAATCGAGAGGAGAATCACGAACACGGATATGATGGCAACGACTCTCGCCCCCTGCGAACTCTCTGGATATTCAAATAATAGCCAAATTTTTCTTTGATATTCGTGCGACGGTAACGGCTTTTCTTCTTCTTTGATGAAACCTTCGTCTTCCCTAAAAGAAAAAAAAAATTTAATTAAAAATAAAATTAGAAAAATTTTTTAAAATCGAAAAAAAATCAAAATATTAAACACAATTTAAAAATTCTGACAAATAGAAATTAAAATAAATAAATTAAAAATCTGTAAACAAAAATAGATCAAATAAATACTAAAATTGAAAAAAGTTAAATTAAAAAAATATTCAGACTAAAAATACAATCTGAAATTTTATTAATAAAAAAATAAAACAATTAATTAAAAAATTCAAATCGCAGAATAAATTAAAATTCCAAACGGAATAAAAATTAAATAAAAAAAAAACAAATTACAAAATAAATTAAAATTCCAAACGGAATAAAAATAAAAATTTGAATAAAATTGGATAAAAATACCAAATTATACAATAATTAAAATTCCAAACGGAATAAAAATAAAAATTAAATAAAATTGAATAAAAATTGAATAAAAATTAATTAAAAATACCAAATTACACAATAATTAAAATTCCAAACGGAATAAAAATAAAAATTAAATAAAATTGAATAGAAATTAAATTTAAAAAATAAAATTACAGAATAAATTAAAATTCCAAACGGAATAAAAATAAAAATTGAAAAAAATTGAATAAGAATTAAATTAAAAATCAAATTACAGAATAAATTAAAATTTCAAACGGAATAAAAATAAAAATGGAATAAAATTTAAATAAAAAAAAAATCAAATTATCAAATAAATTAGAATTCCAAACGGAATAAAAATAAAAAATATCAAATTATATAATAAATTAAGATTCCAAACAAAATACAAATAAAAATTGAATAAAAATCAAATTACAGAATAAATTAACATTCCAAACGGAATAAAAATAAAAATTGAATAAAAATTAAATAAAATTGAATAGAAATTAAATTTAAAAAATGAAATTACAGAATAAATTAAAATTCCAAACGGAATAAAAACAAAAATTGAAAAAAAATTGAATAAAAATTAAATTAAAAATCAAATTTCAAAATAAATTAAAATTCCAAACGGAATAAAAATTAAATTAAAAATCAAATTACCAAATAAATTAAAAATTCCAAACGGAATAAAAATAAAAATCGAATAAAAGTGAATAAATTAAATAAAAATCAGATTTGAGTGAAGAATTGAAGGAAAATGCAAAAAAAAAATCAATTTGCCTGTGAAAAAAACAAGAAAAAAATAAATAAATTTATAAAATGAAACTAATTGAATTAATAATAATAATTATGGTGACAAACCTAAATTTATTCGTGGCCAACTCTCCCAATTCGTAAAATTTAATCTCCTCGGAGAAGACATCGAGGGGTACGTTGACTGGACGGCGAAGTCTTCCACCACTTTGATAGTAATAGAGAATCGCATCGAAGGAGGGTCGATTTCGATCGAAAAAGTATTCATTGCGAAGCGGATCGAAATAACGGATCCGCCTTGATGGGTCGCCAAGCAGTGTGTCCGGAAATTGGTTCAATGTACGCAATTGCGTTTCAAACCTTAGTCCGCTCACCTGTTACATAAAAATTGTTATCGATTCATTAATATTTCTCTCTCTAAATATTTAAATATTTAAAATATTATACCCTTCACTATAATATTCATTCAGAAAATAATTTACATTATTAAATAGTAGGTATGGTATATATTTCTCAATTTTTTTTTTTTTAAATTATTTTTATTCCCTTTACCCCGCTGGAAAAAATTCATGAAAATTAATTTTTTTATTTATTTAAATTCACTTTTGCATTTGTAAGAATAATAATTTAATTTAATTTCCGGTTATTTGTAATTACATTTTGTTTTTTTAAATAATTCATGTTTTAATTGTTTTTAATTTTCTATAATTATAATTATAATTTCTATAATTGGTTTTAATTTTCTATAATTATTTCCACTTTCAATTTGTTTTCTAAATTTATAATTAATTTTCCGATCGTTTTTTTTAAATTATCTTGAAATTTCTTTTTTTTTTTAATTAATTAATTGAATTTTTATTTTTTAATGAAAATATGAAAAAATTGTTTAATAATATAAAAAAATAATTTTAAGTATTTTCTTCCGCTTTTATTATTACTTTTTTTTTTTTTTTGATCGAGATTGATGGACAAACAGGAAACAGGTACACTATCTATACTTACTGGAAATGAAAAATGTGACACACAAGAAATTATTATTTATGATTTTACAAATTAAGGACGCAATTAACTGTCACTGATAAATAAAAAGAGAAAATTAAAAAATTATGAAAAAACAATTTTTTAAAATAATATTTATATATTCTATCTTAAAAAATAATTTGTTTTTCTAATCGTTGATAATAAATGTGGATTTTAGTATCCGGTCGATATAAAAACTTTTTGCAATATCTTGGAATATTTTTCTCTTTAGCAAAAAAAGAAACTTGTAAATAACAAATGTATTTTCTTAAAATATCTCGCAATTTCGTAACAGCCAACTTTTATAATAACACTCACTCTCTCTCTCTCTAATGGAAAAATTGTATATAAAAAAATATTTTTTTGTAATTTTTTTTTTTAAATATTATTTTCAATAAATTCAGTTATTAGAATTTTCAACCCTTTTCTGTTGACAGAAAATATCAATAAATTTTTTTCAAAAATTAAATTTTTGTTAAATTATTTTTTTATTTTTACAGAAAATTTTCAAAGTGTAATTAACATTTTTTTAGATTTATGAAAATTGTATTAATTAAATTTGAATTATAATCCAAATTTTTGAAAATTAAAAAATTTGATTTTTCAATTTGGTTTCAAATTCATAAATTACATATTACAAAATAAATTCTTTCGGTACGAAATCAAAATTAAATTTTAATTTTAAAATAAAAAAAAAATAGTTTTTTTTAAAATTCTAATGAAAATATAAATTTGGATTAAAATTCAAAATTAAGATTAAAATAAAAAATTGACTTTCGAAAAAAATGTATCTCGCTAATTATCATCACTACAATTAATATAAAGCTCAAATTGTAAAATGCAACTTTAAGAGTTATGCTAAAAGATTTAAAAAAAATTGCTACCTAAGAGTTTTCTAATATTTCTTAAATATTATATTATTTATAATTAATTAAATTATCTAATTCTATGAATGCATAGAATCAACTCAACTATTAAATAATTAGTAAAAAAAATCTATTGAAATTAATTTTTGTCAATAAATTTATCTTTTTGACAAAAAGAAAATCATGCAAAAAAAGGTTGAATGTTCTATATATAAAATGGTAAACTATATTTTTAATAATAATAATAATAATAATCAATCTATATTATAATAAACAAGAAGCTGAAAATTTTTTCATTAATAAAGTGCCTCGACTTAATTCCATAAGTTTACAATTTTACTCACATCTTGAATTATTTTGATTGACATCTTGATATCAATTGATTGGCATGTTTGTGAATCTATCTTTGAAGATGGATCGATGTCTGTGGATACTGAATATGGCCAAACACATTCAACTTATAGCGATGCAAAATAGACTTATGGGAAAATTTTATATAAATTAATTTTCCATTTTCTTAATTTTTGGAATTTAAGTAAAAATTTTCACAACTAATTTGAATTTTAGTAAGAATCTATTTTTTTCTTAATTAAATTTTATCGAAAAATTTTTTTTACTGATGTGAGAAAAAATTTAACTAATTTAGTGAAAAAAAAATTTTTTTTTTACTAATTAGTGTAAGTAGAATGTAACTAATTTAGTGAATTTTTTTTTTACTAATTAGTGTGAGTAAAATTTAACTAATGTAGTAAATAGTCAGTCACTAATTTAAATTAGTTGAAAATTTTTACTAAATATTTTAAATTATTTAAATTTAGTTATTTTTTGTCTAATTTTTTTCAATTTAAAAAAATCCTTCACAAAAATCTAAATTAATTTAATTAATTTGGATTTTTAGGTAAAGGATTCTTTTTACTTAACAGTTTTATTTATTTAATAAATTGAGGGGACAATTTTTTTTCTTTATATTATTATATTTAAGAAAAAAAAAGCAAAAACAAAATATTAATTATAACTAATTAAAAATTATTAAACTGAGGTACGTTAATAATTTTACAAAAAAAATTGAGAGAATAAATATGAAAATAAATAAATAAGTAAAATAAAAATAAATTAATAGTACAAAAAAAAAAAAATTGCAAATTTATTGTAGTTTCGTTTAAAATTTTCTTCACATGTTTCGAAAATATTTTTTAAAAATAATTTATCATAAAAAAAAATATATATAATTTATAAGATTTAGTTGAACTTTTACAGCAGTCTCGTAGATATTTTATAAAATTCTATCTCTATAATTTCTGGTTTTTTTTTTGCCTTTTGTAAAAAAATAAGTATCGTCGTTAAATTCTACACACGTACAGGCGCTATACGAAAAGATAAAACGAAAGAAAGAGAAAGTGAGAGGCTGAGTAAAAAATAAAGAAAGAAAAAGATAGAACGAGGGCTATTTTTTTTGTCTCTCAAACCGAATCGTTTTTTTTAATTTTTTTTATTTGAAACGCGAAATTTCGTTTATACTCACCAAATATTTACAAAAAGGATTTTAATGAGGCAACTATCAGCACAGCATTGGGGCAGAAATGGGAATCCCCTAGTAAATATATATAAAAAAAAAAAAAAAATTTGGCAATAATTTCGATCAGCCTTCTCACACGCGGTTACGAAATTGAGATTAATCATCATTTTTTTTGTTTGCCTTTCCTTTTTTAGAAAAAAAATTTCGGACTGCTTTATTTTTTTTTAAAATAAATAATTCAAAATTAACAGTAAAAAAATACACTTAAATTATTCTTAATATTTTTTTTAAAAAAGAATAATATTTTTAAATAAGGGAATAATTAAATAAATAAATTAATTAAAATCGAAAAATAAAACTCGTTGCATTTTTTTAAAGTATAGGTGATATTAAATTTCCTATATGTAATTTTTTTTTTTTTTTTTTTTTTTGTGTAATGGTACACCTAAAGTGTTAAAAATTGAATTGAAATTCTTGACGAAGGACAATTGAAATTTTGAAATAAAATCCACACTTTACATAATAATTATTATTATTTGCAAGTGGTGAAATGCGAATACATTGAGTGCCATATATAAATTGTATATAATGCTCTTGTTAACAATCATCCCACACGTAAATGACACTAATGTATGTTATATAAATGTACATAATGAAATATTACTTCCTCGTGGAAAAGATATTTTGTACTAAACGAAAAACGTTTTACAATATTTTCCAAAAAAAAAATTCAATATTTTCCAAAAAAATTAAAATAATAATCTGTACTATATTTTTGTCTTCTTTTTTAAAAATAAAAAAATAAAAAATAGAAAAATTAATTTATATTTATTATTAATTAATTAAGAAACCCTAAAATTGTTTCTAAAATTTTTTTTTTAATTCAAATTAGTTAATAATGATAAATTAGTTATTAATAAATTATTTACTAATAAATTATTTACTAATAAATTAGTTACTAATAAATTATTTACTAATAATTTAATTAAAAATTTTTTTTCGCTAATTTATTAGTTAAAATCGAGGTTAAAATTCTAATTCATAAAAAATTCAACTAAATTAGTTAAAAAATTTTTATTAATTTAAATTTTTCAAATTAGTCAAAATTAAAATTTTCTCTTTACTATAAAAAAAAATCAATATTATTTGATTTTTATCGAACGAGGAAATTAAATTAAAAAGAAAAAAAAAATTTCCCTTAATAACTGGTTGAAACTGACTTTTATTGGTTTTTAAATTTATAATATATTTTTCATTTAAATCGTCGTTATTGGTTATTGGCCAAAAGTTGCACTTGCTAAAATCGTGTGCGCAGTTATGCAGAAAATTTTTTTTTTCACCGAGATCTGCAAAACCACTGAGCTGTATGTGCGCTTCATATATTTATATAAAAATACTTCTCTTGTTTGAGTACTTTTTTTTTTTTTTTTTTTTTACGCATTATGTATCACAATATAAAATTGCAAACTATTTCAACTATTTACAATAATATTAGGGGAAAAAATTCAATAATTATTAAACACAAAAAAAATCGTCATGTTCCTCATCATGTAATGTGTGTATTATTTATTTTTTATTTTATTTATTATTATTATTATTATTATTATTATTTCAGGAAATCATTAAAAATAATTGGACTCTGATTTCTTTGCCTGTGGATACAATTACTAAAGTAGATATAAATTTCAAATTTATGATATATACATAAGTGAAAGTGAAAGAAAAAAAAGTGTAATTAAAGTTTTCTTAACATTTTAAATTATTGCATTTTTGAGATTATAAAATTTATTCTCTTCTTAATTTAAGAAAAAGATTTCTTGAATTAAGGCAAAGCTTTTTTTTAATTAAGACAAATTTTTCTTAAATTAAAACACAACTTTATTTAATAAAGACAAATTTTTCTTAAATTAAAACACAGCTTTTTTAATTAAGACAAATTTTTCTTAAATTAAGACACAAAAAGAAAATTGAATTTTACTCAAAATATTAAATTGAAATTCACAGAGATATTATTTTTTCCATCTAATATTAACAATTCCTGTAAAAAAATCGCTTATTTAAAATCAGTCAATTTTTTGGCTTAAAACATGTAAAAAGAAAATTCCATTAAGACGTGTTTGAAATTAAGACCGTTATTTACTAATACTGAAAATTAAATAAAAAAAAAAAAAATTTTATAAACTCATTTATATTTCAATGTAAAAAATTTATGTCAGTCTATTTTGAGCCTTAATTTTAAAATAATTTTAGCTTAAATTCAGTTGCTAATTATAAATAAATAATTTATTATAAATAAATGAATTATTAATTTTTTTCCAAATAAATAATTTATTATAAATAAATGAATTATTAATTTTTTTTCCAAATAAATAATTTATTATAAATAAATAATTCATTATAAATAAATGAAGTATAAATTGGTTATAAATAAATTTTCGAATTCGCAGCACAATAAATAAATTAAAATTTTTTTTTTATTTTTAATTGCATAATAAATTTAAAAAGTGATTTAATATTTTTTTTTTCCTCAAAATTTCATTATACTTACGTTGATGACGACCCTCTCGCAAAAGTCATGATCGTGTGGTATGGGCTCGAAGTGTGTGACGCCTGTGTATTGGGTGTGAGCGTTTGGCCCATCTTCGTCCTGGCTGCTGAGCTTTGGCAGCGATCTGTAAAAAAATAAAAACATTTTTTTATTTATTTTTTAAAATAATTAAAAATTTATGTTTATAAAAACTATAATAATTAATTTTTTATTCTAATAAAAATTTAATTAAGTGTCCGGATGCAATAAACGTTTCCAAAAATTTTTTTTTTGATAATTTCACATTAGTATTTTGTACGAATTTTTGTTAAAGAAATGAAAAAAGAAACAAAAAAAAAATAAATAATAAAAAAAAATTATAAAAAAATAATAAAAAAATATAAATAAAATATAGTTTTAATGAATAAATTATGTGATAAAAAATGATGACGTTGGGATAATATGAAAAAGAGGATCATGAAGGGGAAAAATTTTGTAAAACATCGAGTACACTATATACAAGAAGGCTTTTTTCGATTCATTACTAATTCACATATTTCTCGAATAGAAAAAAAAGTAAGAGAGTCTAGTATACTTCTTGTGACCCTAAGCTATCTGGTGGCCTACTCAAAGTGGTGCAGCATCTCATTTGGACCACGCAATTCCTATATAGCTATATATGTACTATATATATATACGATAAAAATGCAAAAAAAGTCTATACAGTAACCATCTCTTCGTTCAAGTGTTTTTACACTTTAAATATGCTCATACAAAAACGTGCAGGTCAACGATCCAAATATATTTAAAAATAGCATATCTGACGTAAGTGTTGTCCTCAATTGCAAAAAAAAAAAAAAAATTAATGATTTATATCTAATCATTAATCTTCATTATTCCAATCCTTTGTTATTTTTTAAAAATTTTATTTACAAAAATAAATAAATAATATAAATAAATAAAAAAATAAATAAATTTTATAAATATAAAATATTTATAAAAATAATAAATATTTATAAATAAAAATAATCTCATAATTTAGATTTGTGTGAAATTATTTATTTTCTTAAATTATTATTAATTTAATTATTAAAAAATAAATTTTTTCAATTTTTTAATAAAATAATTTAAGTAATAAAATAAATAATTTATTAATAATAAATTATAACAATAAAATTAATAATAAATAATTAATTTATTTATTATCATATAAATAATAATTTTTAAAAATAATAGTAAATAAATTTATTTATTATTTATTTATTTATTTATAATTTATTTAATTATGCTTTATTATTATAATAAATAATTTATTTATTATCATATAAATAATAATTTTAAAAAATAATAGTAAATAAATTATTTATTATTTATTTATTAAATTATTTTATAATAAATTAATAATAAAATAAGAAAATAATTTAAAAATTAATTAAAAAAAAAAATTTTTTAATTGTGAGATAAAATTTGTTTTGTTATTTATTTATTTTTTTGGTTCAGCGATATATATATTTTTTTTTGGGTACACTTGAAAAATAATAAATATGAAAGTTTCACAAAAAAAAAGAAAAAAATTTAAATGGCAAATTTGAACAAAAGTTGAAAAGTAATTGCTCCTTTTAGATAGATGGTAAAGTGAAGATTAAAAAAAAATATTTCGACAATGAAAAAGTCATTCCTATAGAAAATAGTGAGTTCGCGCCGTCGCCGCCGGCCAGACGACCGTGAACTTCAATTGAAATCGGTGCCAAGAATCTTCTCGCTCGTTGACTTGATCAGAAAATTAACACCCTTCATATATTGTGAATTTATATTCTCACCTCACAGAAATTTCTCAATTTTTTTTCCTTCGTTTTGTTTTTTTTAGCAAAAATTTGTTTAAAAAATAAATTATTTATTTATTATTATATAATAAATTATTATAATATATTATATTATATATATGTATTATATATAATAATAATAATAATAATAATTATTATTATTATTAATTATTATATAATAAATTCTATAAATAAATAATATAATAATTTTTTTTATTTCTATTTTATTATTAATTTAATTAATTATTTCCATTAATAAAATAATTATTACTATTATTTAATATTTATTGATTATTTTTTTTATTTAATAAAAAAAATTGTTTTCTCAAAAAAAATTATATAGGGTACTAATAATTTAGAAAAATAAATTATTTTTTCTTTAAAGTGAATCGAGGTTTTAGAAGAAAAAAAAATAAGAAAAGGCCATTTGTTAAAAAATTACTCTCATTTTTTTTTCTTCTTATTATGCCCTCGAAACGAATTATTAGCTCGAAGTCAATCTATTTTCTGTTTTTCTTTTTTTTTTTTAAATTAAGCAAATTTCCTCCTGTGAGTATACAAAAAAAAATCGATTTCAATTAACACTTCGAGTTAGTTTTCTGAAAACGAGTTTCCATTTCTATTTGGCTTGAACGATTCGGAAATTGAGTTATATGTACGGATTTGGTCGCGCAGCTAAATTTATATAGATCACTTTGAACTTGAATTTCGATTTCCTGATTTCACGCGCGCGGTACGCCACATCATCATTGACCTTTAAAATTATTTATTTATTTTTTTATATAAAGTATTATTATTAATTAAAATTTTTATTTTAAAAACAATTTTAATTAAATAAAAATTTTGACAAATTTTAAAAAAATTTAGAATTTGAAAAAAATTCTTTTTACTCCATTTTTTTTTACTAAATACAATTTTTTACCGAAATTTGAAAATGTCCAAACTAAAAGATTTTAGCTCGTTTTTTAAAAAAAAAAAATTCGGACAATGACAATTTAGCAAATTTCCAATTGATTGCGAATTTTAAAAATCGCGCCGAAATATTTTTTTTTACTAGTTATAGTAATTTCTAGTAATTTTTTGTTTTAGGTTATAATTTTTCGGCTTTTTGCGAAATTCGGTGAATTGAAAATTTGTCGTTTTTAAAAATTCTGTCAAATAATAATTAGGACAAATAAAAATTCGGACATATGAAGATTTGAGAAATTGGAAAATTTTGTCATTTAAAAAATTTCAATATATTAATTTATTATAATTTTATTTATTATAATAAATAAAATTATTATTATTATTATAATTTTATTTATTATAATGAATAAAATTATTATTATTATTTTTATTATTACTATTATTATTATTATTATAGAAATAAAAAATCTATGATATTTAAAAATATAATGATATTTTAAATTATAAATCATGTCGAATTTTAAAATTCGCGGCAAAATATTCTTTTTCTAGGTTATGTTTGTTCGGACATTTGCTAATTTCGGTCAAGTGAAAGTTCGCCGTTTTTTTTTTAATAAATATAAGTAATAAGTTTCAATAAATTTCTAATAAATTTATAATAATTTATAATAAATTTGTAATAAATTTCTAGTAAATTTGTAATAAATTTATAATAATTTTTAATAAATTAGTAATAATTTGTAATAAATTTGTAATAATTTATAATAATTTCTAATAAATTTGTAATACATTTCTAGTAAATTTGTAATAAATTTATAATAATTTGTAATAATTTATAATAAATTTGTTATACATTTCTAGTAAATTTGTAATAAATTTATAATAATTTTTAATAAATTTGTAATAATTTGTAATAAATTTCTAGTAAATTTGTAATAAATTTATAATAATTTATAATAAATTTGTAATACATTTCTAGTAAATTTGTAATTAATTTATAATAATTTATAATAAATTTGTAATATATTTCTAGTAAATTTGTAATAAATTTATAATAATTTTTAATAAATTTGTAATAATTTGTAATAAATTCGTAATAATTTGTAATAAATTCGTAATAATTTGTAATAAATTTGTAATAAATTTATAATAATTTTGTAATAAATTTGTTATAAATTTTAATAAATAAATAATTATTATTGTTATTATTATTATAGTGATATAAAGGAAAATGAAATAATGCCGTTGAATTGATTAAAATGATGAGTGCCTAATACGAAGTGATGTTGAATGTTGGAAATAGGTGCAGTATAACGATGTGATATATAGCGAAGGGGTTAGTCGGCAGCAGAAACTGCGGCACTACGGCGTTGGCTACATGCCATGGACACACCCTCTCTCTCCTAGTATTCCTATATATTTCTCTATGTCCCCCACTCTTTTGCCCATCCACCCCCTATTTTCCTCTCTTTCCCACTCACTCTCACTCTCGCCTCTACTCTACACAACCCCTCTTTCATCCACTTCATTGCCCACTTTCCAACGTTCGAAGAGTAAAGTGAGGACCTTTCAATTGCCCATAACTTCAAACGGGTTGACCTCTTCGAAAAAGAAAAAAAAATTTTTTTTATAATATTTTATATAAAATTTTCTATTAAATATTTTTATAGTATTTTTGTAAAATTATTTTTCTATTATTTAATTTTTTATCAATTTTTTTAGTATATATTTTATTTATTTTTACCTTTATTTTCGATGCAATTAATAATAATTATATTGATAATTAATAATAATTATATTGATAATTAATAATTATTATTTTTAAATGCCAAATATATTTTGCAAAAAAAAAAAAAAAAATAGTACAGTAAAAATTTCATTTTGAAATATGAAATGATTCGGGACCTTTTCTACAATATTTGAAACTAAAATTTATTCTTGAATTTAGCATATTTTATACTCATAAAAAAAAGAAACTACCTTTGCAAATTCAAAAAAAAAATTTATATTCTATGCAAAGAGCAAATTTTGAAATTCAAAATAATATTTTAAGAGACAAGATAATAAATTTCCTCGAAATTGTATATTCCAAACTGGTTTTAAGCATTTATTCTCAATTTGAGAATAAATTTTTTCTTCTTTCAGTAAAAACGTAATTCTAAATTTAATATTTAATTAAATAATATAAATAATAAGGAAAATAATGAATATTTTTTCGATGCTTATTAAATAATATTTTCTATATGCATTTTATTCTCACAATTAGAGGATAAAAAAAATAGAATAAAATGGATGGAAAATAATTGTCAAACAGAAAATATTCTTAAAATTAAGAGTTTCGATTTTTTTACACCACAAAGTTTTGAGTGGAAATAAAAGAAAAAAATTAAATTATTATTTATTTTTGGGCTTA